TGTCACGTTAACAAGACCTGAAATCAGCTACACTGTTAACAAAATGTGTCAGTTCATGTCACAACCTTTGGAGGAGCATTGGACCATTGTCAAACGTATTCTTCGCTATTTAAAGGGCACACTTGCATATGGTCTTGTCCTGCAACCAAGCCATCCTAGCAATCATTTCTCCATCACTGCATTTTGTGATGCAGACTGGGCCTCTGATCCAGATGATCGCCGATCCACCTCCGGAGCGTGTGTTTTCTTTGGAGCCAACCTTGTATCTTGGTGGTCCAAGAAGCAAACTGTTGTGGCACGGTCTAGCACGGAGGTTGAATATAGAAGTCTTGCTCTTGCCACTGCTGAAATTCTTTGGCTAAAATCCTTACTTAAAGAACTGCAAGTTCAATTTAGCACTCCACTTGTCTGCTGTGATAATCTCAGCACCGTAGCATTATCTCACAATCCAGTTTTACATGCTCGCACTAAGCACATGGAACTTGACATCTTCTTTGTTCGAGAGAAAGTGATTGCCAAGGAATTACAGGTTATTCATGTTCCAGCAGTTGATCAGATCGCAGATACTCTCACCAAGCCTCTTGGAGCTCACCGCTTTGCTTCTCTTCGTGACAAACTCAGAGTTGTAGATTCAGCATCCTTCAATCACATACTCTGAGTTTGCAGGGGTGTATTAGCTCCACTGCAGCTTCCAATTAGTTTTGCCTAGCGTAGCCTTTAGTTAGCTTTTGCTTAGCTAAGCTTGTATCAGTTTAGCTTTCTGTTACAGATGTCAGTTTGTTAGCTTTCTGTTCTGCTTCTGTTAACAGATGTCTTCTCATAAGAGTGCTGAGTCACTCATGATCTGTTAACAGATGTCTTCTCATAAGAGTGCTGAGTCACTCATGATTCTTATAGTATATAAACTACATATCCTGTATTACATTTGATAATTCATTCAACACATGCAAAATGCAATTGCTCTCTTTCTTCTTCTCTCCAAATTCTCTCGACTCTTCTGCATTTCTTTGAGGGGGAACTGATTTCCCCAAATCGTGTTTCCTAGCTTCGTTAAGGATATAAAATAGTTTGTTCTTTTAGTGAATATAAAATTGTGTCATTAGTCAAAACTACTGTTTTTATAGTGAGAGAAACAGAAATTATGATAAGAGAAAGTGATTTTTTTTTAATTTAAATATTAAATAAAAAATAACTAAAATGACCAGACAAACATTTTTCCCTTTTCAATATAGGCTTTATTTCCTTAAAGATGAAAATCGTTTGACTCATCTTATTGAGATTAGGTATAATTTTATTCGGTATTATATCTTTACATACTTGTCATTGGAGCCGAAGGACTATACAAGGGAAATAGATGATTACCATCAACGATCAAGACCAAATTCCTATGCATATCGGGAGGACAGGTTCAAGTTATGGAAATACCATTCATAAAAAGGACTTAATTTCACTTCTTGCACAATAGGTGCAAATATGATAGGTAAGCAAATCAGTCAAAGCGATTGCGTAATGAAGGCTATATATAGAAAACTATTATTGAAAAATATTAGTACCGTGAGATTTTTTAAGTTCAGCGCTCATGTTTTTATGCTTTGATTCATCGAGTGGTTACTTGCCACAAATGTTCTCCTCCTTCTGCTGTATAGGCCAGAGAGTGGTGTAATATTAAAAGAAAAGAAAAATAACAACAACAAAATAAAAAATAACAAAAGAAACACAATTACTTTATATCCACGTTCACATTTCGAAAACTTAAGGAATGAGGATTGGTTTAATTTGATGACATGAATTAGGATGACTAAAACATTTTTTATGCTTTGTATCTATAAGTTATCGTTGAGGTATGTATATATATGTTTTAATATTGGAATCATGCAACCCTCCTTCTTTAATTTTTTTTTTATTAAGAAAAAGTCATTTATATTCTCATTGAGACTTTGTGACACATGTATTCGGGTAATCTAATTACACATTATCTTTTCATTAAAAAAATTGTAAAATCAGTTGCACAATTAACAAAAAAAGGAAATATGTATCCTCATTAGCAATTCATTATGAAGATCTGGGTCTGAAATGTGCGCACAAAAACCAGAAAAATCAATTCCTTATCTTTCACGGTTTTGTAGGTTCTACCGAATTAGAAGACAAAAAGGGCCATCTAAATGTGGGCTCGAATTAGTTGTCATGTCTTAATCTCAATTGGGATTTGTTAAATGCTAATTCTAACATTTTGGGATGACTTTCACATCGATTTTTTGAGGCCATAAACCTTGCCCACCAAGAAATCAGAGATTACTGCCATGTCTTCTGGCTACATAGCAAGCACATACTTTTGTTTTGTGTAGTGGATAGTCATTATAAAAGCTGGCTTAGGTCTCTCTCCTTCGGTGCCTTAGCTTGCAAAGCTACACTGTACAGGGACAGAGTTCCCACCACTTTTCTTGCCAATTTTGTCAAGGCATCTCATATTTGGAATTTATGAATACTACCAGCCTCTGACAAATGTGTTAAACCAAGAAAACAAGTAGTAGAGCATTCTTTTGGATTATACCTTTTTTATCCATTAAAAAAAATGCAATCCTTTGTTTAGAAGTTTCATTGAGATCATTATAGAATCAGCCGCATTGGGATAATATAATTGTATAACATATTATGTCTTTAAAAATAAAAAAAGTTTTGGGACCAAAACAATAATCATTTATTTATAATGTGAATTATTCTAGCCCAAATACATTGGCTAAGTTCAACGTAAGCAGCTATCAGCTTGACCACAGAATGTAGATACTTGAGACGTGCAAACCAGAAACTTAATTCATGACATAATCGAAGATACCTTCCATTTTTAAATGCCAAAGTCTTGAAATACATTATTCATTTTTAATCCTAGTCTACCACATCAAAATAATGATAATAATTTCTCATTTCAAGGAAGTTTATTTGACAGCCTGTTGAGATTTGGTCTCACCTAACTGTTTTTTCACCCGGCATGTTGACTTTTTTCATATGTAACAATAAAATTTCAATTATATTGGAATTGGAATTATTTAATAGTATTATTAGTAATTTGTTATCCTTTAATTTTGCCATTTTCTATGATGTCTTGTTTTCTATCGTCTCAATTATATGCTCCTTCATGTAAACCTGTATATTATCAGTTCAGCTGGTTTAGTTCGTTGGTTTAATTTCTAATTAGTACCCAACTATACAACAATTGTAAAAACTTAAAACCATAAACTAAAAATATTAAAAAAAAATAAAAAAAATTGTTTCTCCAAAAAAAAATTCTAAAGTTAATTTCATATCATTACTAAAATATCGTTTAATTATTTTGAAAGCATGTATTTGGTGACTTTTTTTTTTTTTGGTAATTAATGTATTTGGTGACTTTACATTGGAGTTTAAAAACTTAAAAGGGAATTTTACAAAAATAAAAATAAAAATAAATTAAAATTTTAGAAGGGATATGACTTTGCTTTGAAAGTTTGAATTTTTTTATGACTTTAATTTAGAATTACTGACTTCTTAAGAATTAGAAGCTTGGATTAGATATGATTTGAATATTATTAACTTCTTATTATGTATAATTTTTAAAGAGAAAAAAATAAAAATGAAAATTGTTTAGGTTCATACGTTACTCTTAAACTGGTCATATTGGTAAAATAATAACCCGTTTAACTCTATATTTTTGACACAGACCATTTAACTCGCAATTTAATTGGGTACATCCTTGTTCAACAGCCCTACTTGACCCACATTGAAGTAATTAAGACATTGTTAAATTCTAAAATTAGACCCATTGCATTTCAATCAGGTTATATTCCAAAAGTTACGTGATATTTTAAATTTTATAATCTTTATAAAAAGTAAGTTATAATAATTTTTTACATAAATTAATACTTTATACATATTATGATATTACTTTTTTTAGTACAATATGATAATACTTTTATATTGTTATAATTCAGTTAAAAATATATAGTAAAACATTTTTCGACTTTAAAATTTTTGTAATTTAGCTACATGTATTATTTAAATTTGTACATTTTATACAAATCTTAGATCAACGAAGTCAATAATTAAATCTTAATCTAGTTGAGTCTGATAACAATATTAAGCCAGAAACGAGCTAGCTAAACCAGAACTTTGAGCACTCTAAAGCCTACATTTTCTTGCCGCTCGAGTCAAAATATAACACGGATCATAAGATAATTGCCCATTAACAACCAAAAAGAAAAGATAATTGCCCATGTGAATTTTCACTCTAATTTTAAGGGTATATACCAAAACACACAAAAAATGAAATGGGAAAAAGATTGTTCGCAATTGATTAACAGACACACACAAAAATACTCTTCTAAGATTGAGCCCGTTTGTTTGGGTTTATCAAAAAAGTAACTTTTATCTCTTCTTTATTTTAAAAGTGTTTTTTATAAAAGTTAAAATTATTTATATTTTTATAAAAATATTTAGTTTTTGAAAAAAATATTTGACTTTTGACTTTTGTTTTTCTTAGAAGTTAAAAATTTTAACTTCTGAAAAAAGTAAATTTTTGGCTTTTTTTGTAACTTCTGCTTTTTTTAAAAGCAGACATCCAAACGAATTAAAAACGAGAAGTGCTTTTTTTCTTTAAAAAAAGCAACTTTTGAAGAAAAAGAAGTTCATCCAACGGGCCCTAACCATTGATTCGAAAAGTTATAATCTAGAACACAACGGACAGCGAATAAATTCATCAAATTCATTTTATATTCGAGGAGGATACAATTCCCATAGCCCCACGGTTGTGTCTTCCGATGCCGAGGCCATAAGCTTACAGTCAGACGAATAAGTTACAGCATTGCACTGCAAGTTAGACATGTCACACAAAAGAAAAATGTCAAATTAAATTAAGAATTGTCACAATAAAAGTGTTGTTATTCAAGTCTACAACATTTTCATTTACAACTACAGACTGCACCAGATATAGAAAAGTGACTTACAGTAGCATGGTGATACTTTAATATAGCTAAAGCATTTCCCTTGCGGTAATTATATATCCTTACTCTGCCAATCATGTGACAACAACAGATATTAAAAAGCAGGTTTTGTACCAACAAACAGAATAAAGGTATTGTATTTGAAGAATAATATGCACTGCATAATATAGGCAAAAAAAGAAAGTAGGTTCCCAACCCTGCGGGGAGTGTGGTAGATGGATGGTAAATAGACATAATGCAGTTGTAATTAGTTTCAATTCCTGTTTAGGATTCAAATCTGGCTCAATTCAAAGCAACGAACATGATTCACATAAAGGAATTAAAATTTTCTCTTCTTTTTCTGATTAGGGGAAGTTCTGATAAAATCAAGACATGTCAAACTGTAAAATAACCCCAAGAGGAGGAGAGGTAGTGTAATGCGTTTAAAAACCTGTGGTCCCAGCCAGCAGTTGCAGCAATTTTACCATCAGGTCGAATTGAGGTGCCTGAGATGCCAGGTCGCTCCAAACTGATTTCTTTCTTGACCACACATGTGCCCTTTAAGTCAAAATGGTACATGAATAATAAAAATTATAAATAAGCAGAAAAAGGGTGTAGTAAGCATTGAGCTGCAGACTGATAAACAACAATAAGAAATTTTTCCATAAAAGATAATCATGAAATACAATCAAGCAAACTGTCATTTCCTGTTCCCAGAAGCTACTCTGATATTGGTCATACCAACTCTAATGCAAAAGCAAATCCATAATATCATTCAAGATGTATTAATATTTACACTTTGTTTGATTTGCTAAAAAATAAAAAACAACACAGCACACATTTTTTTCTTTTGTTTGATTGTTAAAAACTTAAAATAGTATAAGTACAGGACAAAAGAAATTCAAGGAACAATACAGTCTAAATTTTTATTATCCACCAAAATTAGGATACAAAATATTGTCCCCAGCACCAAAAAGAAAAAACCAATGACTGCTAACCCTTTATTACCCATCTTTATTGCGCACAAAACAATAACATTACACAAGTCAGTCCCATGCATTAGTCATCAAACTACTAACAACACAAAAAATTATCGTGACTCAACAACTTGTGTTGTACTGTTCTTTTTGTATTGTCCCTAAATATAAACACAACCTTAACTGTAGTTTACTTACTGAATGTAACTTGATCCCAGTTTATTCACACAAATTTTGCATGTTTTTACGAGGAAAATGACCTGTTATCAATATGAATGATTTAAAATCCCAGTGAAGGCTTCCTTTTGGTATGCTGACTAGCTTCCACATCAGGTGTTCTTGGAATGATATTAAGGTTACGCGCAGCATTAGTGCACATCACCTCTATTTATCTTCACGTATGTAGTAACTGGCTGTTCGTATGACTCCAATTACATCGATCCTTCAGCTTGAAGTATGGAAAAGGACATCAACATCAACATCAACAACACCTTTATCCCAAATTAATTGGGGTCGGTGGTAGATGAACCCACATGAAAGAAAGTATGGAAAAGTACATTTTATATTAATGATTTTACTATCTTTATAGGGGTACACCATTTTAATCCATCTAACAATCAAATATTAGCAACTGGTTGAAAGGGAAAAAGAGAAGAAAGCAGAGTTGTTTTGGTATCACTTGCCGTGGAAATAAGGCAACCAGGGGGGAAGAGAGAGAGAGAGATAATCATATAAAAAGGAAGAAACCAAAACTATTGAAACACGGACACTGACCCAAGACAAAGTCTACAGATTCAATTAATTATTAAAAGCATAACAGTCTTATTGTTAGGACTGTGCTTATCAATATGAAGATTGTAAATGATTAAAGAATAAAAGCCATCCCCTAAAAAAGAGAATAAAAGATAATTTATAGGAGCAGGAAATGTTTCAGTGGAACAAGAGAATAAAATAAGTGAAGTTACCGAAGAATGATCCAAGCTATACATTACAATCTTGTCATCTGCAGATCCCGAGATACCCCCCTTGCAAGACCCGTCAATACAGATGCTCAGAACTACAAAAATGATCAGTTATTAACTAAATTTTACATAAAAATAACAAGAAATCTAAGGATGCTGAATTCCACACCTGGCTCAGAATGGAATTTCACAGAAGTTACTGGAACTCCAGGATTCCGGACATCCCACCAAAGCATGGAACCGTCCTCGTATCTACAACACTAAGAAATAGGAAATGAGGAGGCAATCATGTTAAAAGGAGTTAACTTTAGAGTTTTGACAAACTCTAAAGTTAAAGTGGGATCTGTAAATTTCCAGAGACCTAAAGCAAAAACAAACCTGACTCTAATGATCAAAACAGTAAGAAATCACAGCTTTGATCAATACAATATAAATTTATAAGACAGTTCAACAACAAAAAAATCATCTAAAGCAAGGAATCTAAATCTGTAGGAGATTAGCATTTGACACATTAATGACTATTTTCCATACAATTCCAACATCCCATGTAGCCAAGATTTATGGGTTTAGGGTTAGAAAAGAAGGAAAAGGTAGAAAAATGGCTCAAAAGTAATAAAATTAAAATATAATTGATAGAATATAGATGTAACATTGTACAATACCTTAACCTAATACTGCTATTTATACTGCTAATTACGTCAAGTGGTAGTATTAAAAAAATGAGGCCGCTAACATAAGTTAATCAAAAAAAAAAAAAAAAACCAAAAAAACCACTCCCCGTTTAACCCGACTAGCAAATGTGGGATAGAGGAAATCCTTGTACGCAGCCTTACCCTTGCATAATTACAAAGAGGCTGTTTCCTAGATTCGAACCCATGACCTTTCAGTCATGAAGGAACAATTTTACCACTGCTCCGGTTCACCCCCTTAACATAAGTTAATCAAATAAAGAAAAATATTCACAGATAATCCAAAGATATTCTTAATATTCTTTAACACATACATAAATATAGGGAGCATAACAAGTGAGAAGGGTGTCTCATTATGAGTGAGAGGAGCAAATATTACCATTGAAGGTTAGAACACAAAGTTTGTAACTTTTTAAGTCATCATGTGACTCCTACATAACTTGTAATATTGGCCATCCAAGTGAAATTTAATAGTCAAAATTGGCTCCTCTCACCCTCTCGTAACAAGACAATGCTCTCGCTTGAATGTCACGTATGAGAGGTGAAAAGAACCAATCTTAACAATTCAACCATAGGTGGACGGTCAATATTAAAAGTTACTTGATCCAATGGTCAAGATTTGCTCCTCTAACTCATAATAACACACCACTTTTACTTGATATGCTCCCTGTATATATATATAACGAGAGAGAGAGAGAGAGAGAGGAAAGAGAATCAAGACTATACCCAGCCAAGACATTTAAAAATCCCTGCGACTCAGATGGTAAAAACAACTGAACTGCCATGCACATCCCTGGCAAGAAATGATTGCTTTAATTTCAAACAGAAAAAATATGACCAATGAATATGAAATCTAGTAAAGGTTTAACTATTAATTATAAGCAACAACTTAAGAAGAAAAAAAGGAAGAAGAAGGATGTCAAAAATACATTGATATTAAAAAATTTGAACATCAATAAAAAAATTTGTGCTTGTCTGTAACTTTCTCTAGTAACAATGCAAAGTGTAATGGACAGCCAACTTGAAAGATAGAGCAAGAATCATACACATATATATGATAGCACCATACCATTAACCTGAGAAATGAGAATCTCAAAAATCAATGGTAGAAAGTTGAATCTCAGAAGTCCCAAAGACCAGCAACAAACCTCTGTCTTTGTCGCAAGCACTTGAAGAGTTACTAGGACTGTCTGAAGGGAGTTGTACAAATCTTTCAGCTGACTTGAGATCCCAAATTTCAACCTTTTAAAAAGATAAAATTGATAAACATCAGGGTCCATAATTTGGTCAGGAAACATATTTACAAAGATAAAAAGATAATATAGAAAGATGTACTGACCTCAGAAGATTTCTCTCCTGACAAAGCCACATATTGTAGCCCTTCACTATACATATTTTCTGTGAACACAATGAGGTTTCGTCAATCTCACTTCTAAAACATTAAGTATCTCAGAGTAATATAGAATAAAAACAATTGAAGAACATATAAGGAAACAATAGAGAAAATGTTAGATGAGGAATTTAGTCCATCATGGCAGAATCTCCAAAGTGCAATAGCGTGGGCAGCCTTTTAAAATAAGTTAAAAGACTCAGAGAGAGGACCTTGTTCACAAAAAAGTTAGATAAGAAAATTAAACAAATTTCAAATCTCCATTAGCAGTCAAGACCGGAAAAAGTATACAAGGTCTGAGTATTTTAGGACGATGTATACCCATATTTTTTTATATATAAAAGACAAATAATAGAGGGGGTTACTTTGGTAGATGGGAGGTGTTATTAAAGAGGGGGAAATTGTAGAAGGGGGAACGTTTTGAAAAAAATAATAAATAACAGAACTGAGACATTCTCCGTGGAGGAAGGGGATACCCCCTTGTAAGAGGATTCTCACTCTTGCAAACACCATTTCTCAGAACGCAGATACCGTTCTCTCTCTTTTTGTTTTCACCTTTCCAATTCTTCTATAATTCCCGTCTCACATATTCAGAGAGGCTATAGCTAGGGTTGTGAAATATGAAAACAACACAAATTTATTAGACCATAAAATTATATGATTCCACATATAACATGCCAGTGCAATACTACCTGTCAAGAACCAATTCAACCTAAAAGCTTAAGCTGTTGGGTGAGACTATATTAATGGTTTTATATATCTCAACACGCCCCCTCACACGAAAGCCCATTGGGCTTGAAGGGTGGACAATGCACGGGCCCATCTACCTGTGCGAAGAAAGAAATTCCACTTGAAAGAAAGTGGGGGGCGGTGAGGATCGAACCCGATACACCGAGGCTCTGATACCATGTCAAGAACCAATTCAACCCAAAAGCTTAAGCTGTTGGGTGAGACTATATTAATGGTTTTATATATCTCAACACTAGCAAATTCCTTATTTTTAAGTTAGTACTGAAATTATAACAGCTCAATCATGCCGTGTAATTCTAATATTTTCCAGAATGGCAAAATTGTCACCAAAAGCTTTAAAAGATTTTTAAAAACCCACTTTAGACTAGTACTCACAAACCTTTAAAGCTTTCGGGAAAACTTTGATTGGTAGAGGCTTCTTGTCTCTCAACCTCCCGCATTTCTATATCAGGCATTCCTCCTAGCTCTGTTCTATGGCAATCTTCTGATGCTTTCCCTTCTTTGGACCATGCAGAAGGATTCTTCACAGTGGAAAGTTTGCAAAAGTGGTAAGTGTTTGTCTTGATTGTATGTAATGGAATCCTGGAGGGGGGGGGGGGGGGGGATGCAGATCAACAGAAAGTAAAATGATAATTAATTATTTCACAAAAGAAAAAATGATAATTAAGTACATCTCTGTAATTTGTATCACAAAACATATACTATCTTTTCAAAACTAAAAAGGAATCAGACATTTGTAAAGTTGAAGTAAATGAATACCGGGGTATACCTGGACAAACCAGCATCATCAAAATCCCAAACTTTCACAGTTCCATCCCTACCCTGGCTACATGCATACAGAGTCTAAATGAATTTCGATAGAGCAAGTATATTATTATAATAACAAAAATACTAAAATAGAAAGAGGGGAGATCATGAATAAAGCAGGCAACCTGACAAATTTATTGGTTCCGAGGGAAGCACTACTGGCAACAGCAATAATCCCATGGGTGGCACTATGTAACCTGCAGTACCAAATAACAAAATATATATATATATATATATATATATATATATATATATATTGTATTATGGATCATGATTTCTGAAAACAACTAGATTCTTCACAAATAAAAAAAGGCTAGGAAAAATATAGAACTGAGTACCATGCAGATGACACTGTTCGATGCTGAAGGGTATCCCAAATCCGCAGTTCACCATCAGCAGAACTGCAAGCAATAAGAGTGTGAGGTGACCCATCATTAAGCGAAACTAATTGCACATGCAACCAACTAAACCAAGGAGTTGCTATGGTACCCTGATGGGTAAGTTACAATCATTTATTAAATGCTGATTTCATAATAAACATTTAAAATTCTATTTAAAATAACTAGCAGGTAGCAGCCAATGAAATCCCTGATGGATACATAGCAGGGAAAACAAGATGGTACCAAAAAAAGACAAAAGTGTTTGCAGTGAATACCCGGAGAATAGTAACGGCTTAAAGGGATGAAAAGAAATGTCCACGACGGAAGCACGATGGCCTCGTAGCACTGCCACTGGATCAGGTGGTGGCCTTTTGCTCATTTTTTCGTCCTCTTTATGGTCTAATTGGAACTGAACTTATGAAGTCGCTTTTCTAGCTTACCTATATTGAATTGTCAAGTTGGAAAAAGAATAACTACAACATGTGGTGGATTGGGCATCTTTGAGACATGTGAATAATGCAAATTTGGACCTAGATTTTCACTTCTGTTCCGTACTGCGATTGTTCGAAGAAGAAACAGCTAAAGCATATACCTGGTTGGGTAATTGGGGATTGGAAGAACTGAAGAAGCCACAACTCAATGCAAGTGTTCGATTCTTTGATTAAAGGCTGCAACTCGCGCTTGAAATTGAGAGCTGCGTTGTGAAGGAGGGAGACACACGTGTAAGGGATGAGAGCAAATAGTGGTGGGCCAACCTAACCATGTGGCCCAACCCGGAGAGAAAGCCCAAGGTATCATGTGAGTTGGGTCAGCCCATTAAAAATTATTTTAAAAACAAATAAGTCCGCCTCTCAAATGGGCTGGACCTATCCATTTACAATTGCACAAGGGAGAAAGGAATGTGAAATTTTTATATTTATTTTTTTCTTAATTAATAATAATTAGACCTCATTTATTTAATAAATATAAAAATATATATGAATATGAAAATTTCACATTATCAAATTATATACAATTTTAACATGAGAAAATTCATTCTCATTTGCATGCCAATGGCAATAACCAACGGTAATAACTATATGCAATAGAATGTAGTTTATATTTCCAAATCATTATTTCGAATAAAATGTATTTTATGTTACCAAACTCACTATCTAAATAATTATTACAACATTTCCAAGTCCGATAATACAAATAATTATTAAAACAAAAATCCTATACATTAAAACAAACGAAAATCAGAACAAGAAAACAAAAATTTAATTTAGAATGCTAAAAAAGTGTCTAGCAAAATCTTTCCTACAACCTCTACGGGAAGTTCAAGCATTGATCTCGAGCGGCATGATCCTTCTCCAGAAGCTATTAAAAGCAAATAAATTATATTTTTGATTGGTTTAATAAGAGACTAAAGTGCATGAAAAAAAAATTAGAGGAATGTTGAGTACATGACATACTTGTTAAAACTTTTTAATTTATGGTTGATAGACCATAAAAATGTTATTTAAATAAAAAATTATCAATGTACGAGTTTGGAAGCTTTACATCCAACCTGGATCAATGTGTCACTTTCGCTCGATGCAGTATCACATAAAATTTGTATAAAAAAGAAAGAGAAAATATCACATAAAATTATGTCAGGGTGAAAATAAAAAGAAAAAACGATGTATCATTTTAAATGACACACTTTATATTCTTTCACTCTCATAAAGAGGTGGTACCCACGTCTTTAAAACTTTTTCTACTCATTCTCTCTTTCATGATTTATCTCTCTCTTTCATTTAAAATGACGCAACTTTATATCGTTTTAAATGATAAACAATTCCCCCAAATTAAAAACATTATAGATTTATTAATTAATATTCATTATTATTTCTCCCATCCGAGTCCCTGGCCGCGTTGCCGCTGATAAGAGAGCGGGCTTTCCCCTTTGCTGATATGAAACGCTGACGTAGCACTCCACACACACACACACACACTCTTGGTCGATGTCATTAGAGCTACCATCGCTGAGGCAGGAACCCAGGTCTGATATACACACACACTCACTCTCCCTCTGTCTGTCTGTCTCTCTCTCTTCAATGCTAATCTACTTTGCAAAATCGCTTGCCTAGGTCTTCCTTTCGGTTTTACTCTTCAACATTCAGGCGCCAATTCACTAGATACACTTCGCTCTTACCTTCACTCATTGGAAGAAGAAGCTTATCGAGAATTGGTTGTTTTTCTTTTTGTTTGCAGCGTTTGGGCTTTGATTCGCGTTTAGATGGTTGGATTAGGTTTAAATTTCCCCATTCTATATCTACTGATATGTTCCAATTAGGATCCCCGTAGAAACATGAGCCTTAGCTTTTTCATGACTGAGAAGTTGAAAGCCATGGTTCACATTCGATATTTTTGCATGTTGATTTGGGCACTCAAGTTGGGATAGAGGATTTTGTTTTTGAAATATTTTATTTGAAACCTAGGGCTGCGTAGGAATGATGGATGGCGAAGATATGACTTCTGTGACCAAGAAGAGGTCTACAGAGGAGGAAACCTGTTTTGTTTCGGATGATAACGAGCCCATTGGCTCTGTATTTAAGCTAAGGAAGCCACGCGGTGCGAAGAAGAAGGTTAGCTTGGCATCAGAGGGCATTGGTGGTGATGGAGGTAAGAATGCTGACTCTGTTGGGAAAAATTTGACTGCGGCACAAGTGGATTTGGGGGGCATGGATGATACCCTGGCTAGTTTTAGGAAGAGGTTGAAGGGTCCAAAGAGAGATCAGGGACCTGGAGCTATCAGAGGAAGAATTCCTGCTTTGAATGTGGTGGGGGAGTCTTCTGATAGGTCTTTGAATATTTCTTGCGAGGATGGACATTTGGATGAAAAATCTTCATTGAGTAAGAACAATGTCAGTGAGGGGCGGGATGTGGTGGATAGTGGATTTGATTTGGCTACAGAGATGAAGATTACTGGCATTTGTCAAGCTAAAGTAGAGGGACCTAATATGGATTTGGCACTGAAGGGAATTGAGGGTCATGCTGTGTCTCATGATGATATGGTTGCTCGGGGGACCAGGAACACCCCAAAATATGAGAAATTATTGCTTAATGATGACCTGGAGCACTCTCCTGGTGAACCAATGGAAAATTCCTTGTCAGCAATGTTCCAAAAGCAACAATCTAAAGAAGATAGTGGTTCTCTTTCCCACCAAAAGGTTGCATTGGAAGAAAGAATTCTCAATGATGGTTTAAAGAAGTGTTCTGCCAGATTGCATGAGGTTGAAGAAATAATTGACACTGTCTCTCTCCCAAAAGTGGGGGAAGGGGTGTGTGGGTTTAGTGAGATTGAGCTCAGGAGCAGATTGACTAATGAACAAGCACAAATGTGTAATAGTACTTCAGAACATGGTGATTTTACTTCTGCGGAGAAAGAAAAGTTCTTACCTTCTTGTGACTCTGAGCCCTTGACTAAATTATCTGATAATATATTGAATGAAAAAAATCATCTGGTTTCCGGAGAAGTTTTTCAGGGATCCTCAATAAATGGAACTAAGTTTGTTTCTGGTAGAAGTTGCTGTGACCGTAATAGTCTAGATACAAAGGTTGAAGTGCAAGATCTTGTTTTAGGTTTTTTTCCTGAAAAAAATGCTGTCATTGCTGGTGGTAGTTTATTTCATAAGGTGTCTAATGAGGCCAATGAATCTGAATTGTCTGTTCAGTCAAATCACCCTGAGAATCCTCCAGAAACACATAATATTCCAAAGGACTCTATTGCCTCCATTCCGAAATGCAGATCGATGTTAGAACCGACCCAACCTTCTAACAATACGTCTGAAGAGGGTTCTCTTCCAAACGATGATTGTTTCTATGCCATGCAAGAAACCAGTGGTGCCTCCCCTCAGAGTGCAATTCCAGGGGAAAATGATAATTATGCAGACTATGTTGCTTCCGGGTCTGAAGTTGCCAACAAAGATGATAAAACATCAGCTGTTATGCGCCGCATGGCCAAAAAACGACGGCATGGAGACATGGCTTATGAAGGGGATGCTGATTGGGAGGTTTTGATAAATGGCCAAGCTTTTTCTGAAAGCCAAGGTGTTGCTGATGGTGATAGACCGAGAGTGAAGCTTGATTCCTCTTTGAATGTTGTTGAAGAGTCTGAAAGTGTTGCAGTAGCAGTATCAGCTGGGCTGAAAGCCCACGCAGCTGGTCCACTTGAGAAAATAAGATTTAAGGATATCTTAAAGCGTAAAGGTGGTCTCCAGGAATATTTGAATTGCAGGTCAGTAGACAACCTTTCAAACAGGTTTTTGCATTTGCTTGCAATTGGTCTTTCATAATGTTCAGAAAGGGTACTTTCTTCAGTATTTTGTTTTTTATAGTGTCTTGTGCTTCAAATATATGTAACTGTTTTAGTTCCTTTATGACTTGATTGAATGCATTATTTGTGTTGGTTGCTTAAACATGAAAATCACGATATTAAAGTTTTGCTGTATCTGATCTCTTTTGGATTTTCTTGTATAATTGGGCAGAGGACAGCTCGTTTGTCGTCATTTGGAAAGAAATAAGAGGGAAATAAAATAGGAAGTTAGCACTTATGCAATGATGTCTCTTTTTTGTTGGTTCAATTTTTTTTTTCCTTTTTGGCCATTGTCTACTCTCCCTTTATTTGACCATTGTATGTTTCTGAATTTCATATTTTTTCGGGTTGAATTGTTGTGGGCAAGGGCAAGGCCCTTCTTCCTATATTTGCTCTGAAATGGAATATTTTAAAGATGGTTACCACCCATTTGGACTGAGTTTGTTTGCTCCATTTTTTTTTTCTTTTTTGATTGATATGTAATTGATGATTAATTGTATATTGTATGATTATGAGTTCATGTGGTGATTTTATTGCAAATAGTGTCTTTCTCTCCCTCGCTTTTGTTTATTTCTTTGCAATAGTTCTTTATCACCATCTTTTTACTTTTACATTTTAAAGATATGTTGCTTGCAGTACTGTCAATCATGTATACTTCTATTCAAATTGATAAGCTGCTATCCTTAATTATTGTTCATTGTTTTATTGGGAAGTTGGCTACTGTTATCAGTTATGTTTAACATATTATTTGTAGTAGAGTATCATCATTGCTCTATTTTTGCTTGATTAGCTTTTACCTTCTGATTTCTTCTTTTAGTGATGGGATTTAGTTTTTGATTGCTTTTTTCTTATGAGTCTCCATCAAAATTCTTTTAAAAATCAACCTTAAAAAATTCAAATGAGCATATTGCAGCACCTGCTTAGCTTTAGATGCTAACGTATTTATCACTTAACCTGGGATATACTGGATTTCAGGCTTCTGTTTATTTTTAACAGAGAATTTTAGTTCAAACTTTGGATGCCTTTTGTAATAAATTCTACATATTTGTTTTCTTTTTTTTTTTTGAAATAAAAAAAAATAAATTCTATGTCTTTGAATTTATGTATTGCAGAAATCAGATCTTAAGTCTCTGGAGCAGGGATGTCAGGCGTATTTTGCCTCTTGCTGACTGTGGGGTTAGTGATACTCCTTCGGTGGATGAACCTCCTCACTCTTCTCTTATTAGGGAGGTCTATGCATTTCTCGATCAATGTGTAAGTTTGTTCTGCAAATTATGCAGCTATCAACTCTCATTTCCTTTACTCATTTATTGGAATGTATGGGATGTATAGGGAAAAAAACCAAAGGTATATTTAAAAAAAATTCAAAAAAATTCAAAAAACTCCAAAAATATTTACAATAATGGGTAGTCTTGCACATGTGTGCAAGATGCCATTGCAAGGCGCCACCAAAAAAAAATTGTTGTGCTGCCAATTGGCTAGTGCTGCGGGAGGTGCTAGTTCATGTGACATTCGGCGGTAGTCACATGGCACACTTTCCCCCTCTCTCCTAATAATTAATTCACAAACGTCACCATTAATTAATCATTGATCAGAAAGAAACACGGACACACATAACAAAATGGAAAAAGGAAAACTCATTAATGTACCATCAATTCACCAATAACCCATCCGTGCTACCCATTCATTCACAACGACCTTTGCCTTCACCGTCTGGAACCATGGCCGCCAACAACTATGAAATCTTCAACTGCTTTGGCAGGAAGTTCCCCATCATCGAACCAGGCCCCCACTTGATGTCAAACAAGTGTTTTACGAGTTCACTGCCGATGCCCCATGCTGCCGATCACCTCCACCGGTTCCTGGCAGAGCACCAGGGTGAAATGGACTGTACCCCATTGGATTCTGTCTGAATCCTCTTCCACCCTTATGCTCAATGTTTTGTCAAACTTGAAGGTCTAAATGGTCCTGAAATATTTCTTTCCAACTCAAAGGAATGATGAAGAGGACAAAATATAGAGTCGTTCGATTGATGAGGGGGAGAGAAATGTTGATCTAGTTGCTTTGGAGAGAATGGGAAGGAAGAACAGAGATGACTGTTCATTTTTTCTGCACAGTATAGATTGAATAAATAGCATTAAATTGGGTCAATGGGAATAGGAAGAGCATGGAGGAGTGATAGGGCCATTTAGTATTTTGGTGGTATTAGGAGTGAATGGGAGATGGTAAAATCAATGGCAGTAATTGAGTTGGTAAAAGAGGATTGGAAAAAAAATAATTACCAGGAGAGAGGAGGCATGAGTGCCACTTGGCTAGAATCTATCATGGCACATATGCAAAGTTTTTTAAATTGTTGGTGCTGTTCCACATGACATCTTGTAAGGCATCACTTGCAATGGCGTCTTGAACACATGGCAAGACTGCCCTATCGTGGTAATTTTTTTTTTGTTTTAATTACCCCTTTGGTTCTTTTCCTGATGTATACTTATTTGGCTTTATTAACTTGAAATGATTTTTCTTTTGGTAAAACCATTTTTTGTGTCTATTTGTTGGTGACATTGGAACTTTATAACCAAATTTCTGCAGGGTTATATAAATGTTGGAATTGCCTCTCGAAAGGAGAACATCAAAAGTAGTGCAAGGCATAGTTATATACTTGTAAGAGATAAAGGATTTGAGGAAGGTTCTGCAGCTTCTGTTGCTGATTCCGAAGATGGAGTTTCCTTTATTGTTGGTCAGACTAAAAAGTCAGATGCATCCATAGAGATTAAGACTAAGAGTGGTTTTACAATAGATCATGAAGACCTGTCAACTGAAGCTACAGAAGACAGGAGACATTTTAATGCGGTGACAATGGATTTATCAATCATGACCCAACATGAAGAAAGAAAGAGTGATGATCAGATAGGTGGGATTCAGGATGTATTAAGTGGAATTATACATGTGAATGTTAACAATTCTGAGCAAAGCAATGAATCAGCCTGTGTTAAATCTGGCCTGGGTGATCAGATAGGTGATCTACTGCAGTCTGATTCAGAGGCTAGAAAAAGAGTAATTGTCATTGGAGCTGGTCCTGCTGGGCTAACTGCTGCTCGCCACTTGCAACGTCTAGGATTTCCTGTAACTGTACTTGAGGCAAGGAGTAGGATAGGAGGCCGTGTATTTACAGATTGCTCATCTCTTTCTGTCCCTGTGGATCTTGGTGCTAGCATTATCACTGGTGTTGAGGCTGATGTGGCTACTGAGAGAAGACCGGATCCTTCCTCATTGGTTTGTGCTCAGTTGGGCCTTGAGTTGACTGTGCTAAATAGTGACTGTCCACTTTATGACATAATGATGGGACAAAAGGTTCCTGCAGATATGGATGAAGCACTGGAAGCTGAATACAATAGTCTTCTTGATGACATGGTATTACTTGTTGCACAGAAGGGTGAACAAGCCATGCGAATGTCCCTTGAAGATGGTTTAGAATATGCCCTTAAGAGGCGCCGTTTGGAACGCTCTGGAAGAAGTAGTGAAGAAATTGAACAAAAAAATTCTGCAGATGATCCATTTGATTCCAGAAGAAACGATACTCAGGAAAAAAAATTTGAAGTGGAGGTTTTGAGTCCTCTGGAGAGGAGGGTTATGGATTGGCACTTCGCTAATTTGGAGTACGGATGTGCTGCTCTTCTTAAGGAAGTTTCTCTTCCCTATTGGAATCAAGATGATGTGTATGGAGGATTTGGGGGAGCTCATTGTATGATTAAAGGGGGTTACAGTACTGTCACTGAGTGTTTGGGAGAAGGGCTTGCAATTCACTTGAACCATGTTGTAACAAATGTGTCATATGGAAGCAAGGAACCTGGCCAGGGTGATAAAGTGAAAGTTTCTACATCAAATGGCAATGAGTTCTTTGGAGATGCTGTCCTGATTACTGTTCCATTAGGCTGTTTGAAGGCTGAAACTATAAAATTCTCCCCTCCTTTGCCCCCATGGAAATATTCTTCTATTCAGCGTCTTGGTTTTGGAGTTCTCAATAAAGTGATCTTGGAATTTCCTAGTGTTTTTTGGGATGATGCTGTGGACTACTTTGGTGCAACAGCTGAGGAGACAAGCAAAAGAGGCCATTGCTTTATGTTCTGGAATGTCAGGAAGACAGTTGGGGCTCCAGTCCTCATAGCATTAGTGGTTGGGAAGGCAGCCATATATGGTCAGAATTTGAGCTCTTCTGATCATGTCAACCATGCATTAATGGTTCTCCGGAAACTTTTTGGGGAGGCTTCAGTGCCTGATCCTGTTGCTTATGTCGTGACTGATTGGGGTAGGGATCCTTTTAGCTATGGTGCTTACTCTTATGTTTCTGTTGGAGCATCAGGAGAAGACTATGATATATTAGGGAGGCCAGTTGATAACTGCTTATTTTTTGCTGGTGAAGCAACCTGCAAAGAGCACCCTGATACAGTTGGTGGTGCAATGATGAGTGGACTCCGGGAGGCTGTGCGCATAATTGACATATTGAGCACCGGAAATGATTATACTGCAGAGGTAGAGGCAATGGAGGCTGCACAGAGACAGTCAGATACTGAAAGGGATGAAGTTAGGGATATAATAAAGAGACTCGATGCAGCAGAGCTTTCTAACGTATTGTACAAGAAATCTTTAGATGGTGGTCGAATCTTAAGCCGGGAAGCTTTACTAAGGGACTTATTCCTTAATGCAAAAACCAATGCTGGGCGATTGCATGTGGCCAAACAGTTGCTAAGTCTTCCTGTTGAAAACTTGAAATCCTTTGCTGGGAGTAAAAAGGGGCTAACCGTTCTCAACTCATGGATACTGGTACTGTTGTATAGCTGGATGCATTATTTTCAAATTATTTTATCTTCTTTTGATAGACAGTATGTGTGATCTTTGCCATTAAAAAGTAAATCATCTTTATCTTATGGTGATAGAATTTCTTAGATTATGTGCTTGATAGTTCATATTTCAAACAGGACTCAATGGGGAAGGATGGTACCCAACTCTTGCGGCATTGTGTGCGTCTTCTTGTGCTTGTTTCAACTGATCTACTTGCTGTACGCTTATCAGGTACTGGTGTTTTTTAGTTGTTTTTTGGGGAAGGTGGATATGACTTTTCATTAATATGTGCATGCAAATATATGGTCTATGCGAGGCCATGTCTTGTATCTAATAGTTAAAAAAAAATAAAAATTAGATTGATGTCAAACTTAGTTTGTCTTATGATTATCTTTTCCTGTCTGGTGATCAGCCCAGTGAAACTATGAATTATCAAATGGAAGATATATTTATGCTTCAGTAGATTATTCTGTCCAGATGGAGTCATGTGTAAATATGATATCAACATTTTCCCCACTATTTTTGTTTTATCTTTTCAATCAGGCATTGGGAAAACAGTGAAGGAAAAAGTTTGTGTACACACTAGCCGTGATATTCGTGCTATAGCAAGCCAATTGGTTAGCGTATGGCTTGAAGTCTTCCGCAAGGAAAAAGCATCTAATGGAGGATTAAAGCTGTCAAGACAATCAACTGCTACAGATATATCAAAGAGAAAAACCTATAAAGATTCAGCCTCGGGAAAGCCACCTCTTAGTACTCATCATATTACCTTTGAGAATAAAGGAGGCATACTAACTCCTGGAAACAATTCACCTTCCATAGCACATGTGAAGAAATCTCACACCAAACAAGGAAGACAACAAGTGGCAAATGACTTAAGGCATGAGGTCAGTTCTTCTAGTTCCAAAGGTTCAATGGGCAAAGTAGTCACTGAGATGGAGGATAACCACTGTGCTATGTCTGAAGAAGAACAGGCTGCTATAGCTGCTGCAGAAGCTGCTCGTGCTAAAGCACTCGCTGCTGCCGAGGTTTGTTTCTCTTGAAACATTTAGTTTTCATGCTAATAATCTGCTGGTATGGATATGGTACTTTCTTAGATCCATTGATAGTCACGAGCAAAATTCCTTGGCCATTTTGCTTGTGTTACGGCTCTGGTTGTTTAGTGATAAGAGTTGATATTACAGAAAGGTAAAAAGAAAAAAAAGAATGGCAATGGAAGGAAAATTTTATTTATTGACAAGAAAATGAAATGAACACACAAGAGACATTTCTCTTGCTAAGGGGATTCCCCTTCAACTAAGCACTCTCAGCCTAACACAGTATTTTTCAAAAGCTGCCATGAAAGGAGAGCCAACTCCCTTATATACAGTATCTAAGCTGTCAAAAGCCAACAACCATCTAACTACCTAACTAACAAGTTTAACTGCCAATCCAACAATTACAACTAACAAGGGCCACTAATTAATGCCCCGACAACTTTCCTAATATAGGTCGGAACAGCTTGTTGCAAATGTGCCTGTCCCTGATATTCTTATGTGCTAGAACTCTTTCAGTATGATGTGATCATAGTAGTTAAAAGCGGATTGCGGCCTGTTGCGGCCAACCCTGAAAAACGCTATAGCGTTATAGCGGATTGCGGTTGCGGAAATAGGGGAATATATTAATAGTACCTAGATATACCACACATATATATGCTAAAAAATAAAACAATCATTAATAATAAAGAATTGCTCTAATTATATGTTATTAAATGTGTACCACTTTGATTATATGGTTCAACTAAAATATTTTCCATTTACCCTTATATATATGCATGCATATATAGTCATTATTTTTAGAAAATAAAATATTTTATTGTTTCAAATAATTTACAGGTCCTTCAATTTCAACTATAATTAATTTCAAGTCTTCCCATCAAAACTATCATTGAATTAACTATTTAACAATTTAAAATTTTAAAAACAATTTAAATAAAATTTAAGTAACAATTTAACATAATAGCAATTTAACAATTTAAAATTTAAAATAAAATTTTAACATAATAGCTTTTTATTTAAGAAAAATTAAATAATTTAAGTAACAATTTAAATAATATTTAACAATTTAATTAACTATTAAAATAATAATAACTTTTTAAATTATAAAAAGAAATTTTAACTGTCAGGTTTTATTAATTATATTAAAAGTTTTAAACTGCAAATTTAAAACAATAGAAAAAAAACATAAAGTAAAAAACAGCCAATTTAAACAATAGAAATTTTTTTTTGAAAAGAATGAAAATCTGAAACGTGGATACATTTATTAGAAAGTGGGAGAGTGGAAAAGACATTTCTCTCTCCAATAACCAGAGACGTTTCTCTCTCTCCAATAACCAGGTTTGCTTGCAGAGGACTCGACCACGTTCCTCTCTCTTTCTCCAGAATGGATACATACATTCTGCATCTTCTCTTCTCACTCTTTCTCAGCCACACATGTTTCTCACATATTGATGATAGAGAGAAAAGGGGCAGCGTCGTGCTACAGGAAGAGGGAGTGAAGGAGTGGGTTAGGGTCCGCAAATGGCCGCTATTTAGCCGCAGATGGCTGTTTTTTGGCCGCAATGGCGTTCCGGAGCGGAGTGGAGAAAGTTCTTACGGTTGGTCTGCGCAACGCGCATCTGGTGCGGCTAGCGCCGCTATTGACTACTATGGGTGTGATTTGGGTGTACAGTAATTGTAGCATAATTATGCTGGGACGATGCCTATGTGTGATTCAAATTTGCTTGTTTTGAGTAAATATGAAACAGTTTATTGACTCAAACAAGTCTTGCTATCTTTTGGCTAACCTCGTTAAGTGCTGGCTCGGAATTTGGTCCTCATTTTTCTATTTATATTCAATATTTATTTTTTCAATAATTATATGTGAATTATGAGTATATGACCTGAATTTAACACAATCAATTGCATATTATTCGTGAATTATTATTCCAACTAAAAATTATAACACTTGTTTTTTTTAAAGGCAGGAATCTTTTCTTTTTAGATATTTTACTATTAAATTTAATATTGTTAGTTAAAATTTTAATGAGTCAAACTTGTTTATTAAATGATCCATATTGTTCAACTCAGGTTCATCTCAAAATTCATAAACCAGCTCATCGAGTCAATTGAGAAGTTAACCCTGTTGGGTTTATTTGCCAGCCTTAATTTTGTAGATACAGGTGTTATACTGTCGAAGTATCATAATTGTATCGTCTTATTGGATGAAGATTGTGTGTTTGGTGAAACATTGGCTAATTGGTTTCAAATACCATCAGAATTGCTTATGCTTTGGCCTACACTGAATCATAGTAATTGCTAACTGGTACCTGATCAATTGAGTTGCACATTGGCCACCTGAAATTGGCATGTTGTAAGACATTTTTCACCTTAGATAATTTCAGGATGACCATCTCTTGCTTTGCAAATTGCAACCAGTTTTGTTGTTATTGTAACTGCCTCCCTGACCTCTGCTCCTTGATCTGTTTTCTCCTTTGGTTTTAAGATCATTGATATTGTTTTTTTACTATGTAAGGAAACTGCCTATATAGAGGGTGTACTGTAGGAAGTGTAACAGGGTAACATGGGACCACAACCCTATGTGGGATCAGGTCCCATGAGTTGGAAATTAGTGGAGAAGGCTGTTAGACTTGAGTGGGAAATTAAGGGAGAAGGCTGTTAGTTAGTTACACAGCCTCAGGCTACCTTAAGAGAGGAGGGAAGGGGTGTGAGAGGATATCAGAAGTAGATTGTTGAAAGAAGTCTCGGGAGAGACTAGAGCCTCGAGTGCTCTGTTTATCTTTTCTTTTACGTTTTCATCTCTGTAATAACAAACACCAATCTGATATGTATTTTTTTGTTTTGTTCTTTGCAGGCATATGCCTCTGCTGAAGCCAGGTGCAATACACTACTCCAGCTTCCAAAGATACCCTCATTCCACAAATTTGCTAGACGGGGGCAATATTCACAAAATGATGAGAATGATAGCAGGAAAAAGTGGTCTGGTGTTTTGGGAAGGCAAGATTGTATTTCAGAGATCGATTCTAGGAATTGCAGAGTTAGGGACTGGTCTGTTGATTTCTCTGCTGCTTATGTTAACCTGGATAATTCCAGAATGCCAGTTGATAACCTCTCACAACGGAGTCATTCAAATGAGATTGCCAGCCATTTGAATTTCAGAGAGCACTCAGGAGAAAGTGTTGCTGTGGACAGCAGTATATACACTAAAGCTTGGATTGACAGTGATGATGGTGTGGGAATAAAAGACTATCATGCCATTGAGAGATGGCAATCTCAAGCAGCTGCAGTGGATTCTGATTTTTCTAATCCAACCATACATTTGAAGGTTGAGGAGGATTCAAATGCCTGTTCAAGACTACCCAGCTGGAAGCATGATGGTATGGCAAATGAGAGCTCTATTTCACAGGTTACTGTAAATAAGGAGAATTTAAAAGTTCATCCTCGAGGAGCAGATCATATTAAACAGGCTGTTGTGGATTATGTTGCGTCACTACTTATGCCCCTTTATAAGGCAAGGAAACTAGATAAAAATGGATACAAGTCTATAATGAAGAGAAGTGCAACCAAGGTAGTTTTCTCCCATCAATTTTTTGCTTCTCCTTTCTATTTGCTAAATTGAAAAATTGTTACTTTATGGTTTGGTTTGGTAGGTTATAAGGAATAACTGATCTTGAATATCATCTCAAGAGACTATAGTCTTGTTCCATTTCTTACGTTATTAGGTTAAAGTTTCAGGTTATGGAGCAAGCCACAGATGCAGAAAAAGCCATGTCTGTTCATGAGTTTCTAGATTTTAAGCGAAAGAATAAGGTACTTTGCCTTCTATGTAATAATCCTATATGACTTCTTCTGAACACCTCCTTCCAGAATATGTTATTCATGCTGCTGATGTTGCCATGATTTCCTACTTGCTTTTGACAATTAACTCTTTCCTCTGTTACTGAGTTTGGATTGGATGCCTAAAACATGCAGATTCGCTCCTTTGTGGACAAATTGATTGAGAGACACATGGCAATGAAACCAGATGTGAAATCTTAATGTTCTTTGGATGGAATGGCTTGGATTTTGGTGCATTTCTAGTATAGTTCCTGAAATGCAAATTTCTCCTGGCAATCTTGAAGTTGAACAGAATGCTGGTGGCGGAGTACTCTGTAATCAGGCTTTACTATTTTATAAACGAGCTCATGCAAACATTAGTTGGATCCTCTGGATGAAAGGCATCTGAATGTTTGAAGATGACAACAGATTGCATTCATCCGTCATTTTGTCTTCATCTTTCATCGAGGTTGTACCTCTGAGGGTTGAAAACTTATACCCTATTTTTATTAAAGGGGTTTTTCATGGACAAGACATTACATGACCTTATCAATTCCTTCTATTTTGTACAGATTAGGATTGTTTTATAGTGATGACAAGCATACATATCCATTTCATAATGTCCTATCAGAATACTGAACATTGCTCATATTTATTAGGTTTAACATCAAATACTAATTTATATTTCATTCTCCAAAAGGGGGGAAGAATTATGCTAGCTTTGTACGATCTTTGGTTTACTCGTGCATTTTATCCAAGTCTCGCTCCCTCTCTTCTTGGTGTAAGTGTATGTATGCTGTTTATTTATAGTTCAGTCAGCTTCCAAGTGAGTACTTAAGTAATAAATAAATAAAAATATGAACATCACCTCGTTAGCAAAGATGCTCGTCAATTTTAGCTATAATTACTGTTTAAATAAGTGTGTGGTGTATAATCCAAAGGCCTGCACTCTATCTTGGCCATTCTCTTGTGCTGGTTATTGCTTACACCTCTTTCTGTATGTTGCTAGGCTGAGAAAGGTTATATCAATTACAGATTGGTGGTAATAGGTATTCTCTCGTTTACCTGCGACTTGATGTTTATTGCAACTTTTACCTTCGCAACCAATTTTCAGGTGCTTCCTGCTTTTTAAATTTTATGCTGTCCCTTCACTTTAATGCCCTCTTGGTGTTGGGGAGGTTGATGGCCCTGTTATGATACCATTGCTTTTGTTTCTGCTGCAGACTGTCTTCATGCCAAGCAATTGTGATCTTGGATTGAAACTAATAGTGCTGCCAGGGAAATTAAATTCCCTTAGTATCTAGATGGGGTGAGTACGTTCTTGTCATAGAAAGCAAATTTTTTCTGAATCATTTAGTCAGCTAAATGGTTTCGCCAATTGTAGTTTGATATTTGCTTACTGCTGAGAATTTATTTATGATGGTTACCAAAATAAATTTTGTATTTACTGGGAAATTGGCTCTAATTTTTAGGGAAGCTATTTCAGTTGGTTGCTGATCGCCTGATCCTGATAGAAAGTTATCCTCATAATTTTATTTTTTTTGGCGCATTTTTGCTATGTTTCTTCCTACCATTTGAAACAGCAGTTTTATCTCAATACTTGGTTGTAAGATTCCCATACAGTTGTTTCATCCTATCATCGCTCTTATAATCGATTTGGGTTTATGGTACTTCGGATCAGTGTTACTTTATTGTTTTTACCCATTTTGATAGAGGTTGATATTCAATGCCGTCCCCTTCCCCCCGAGATATTCAGCAAAGATTGGGGTTGATATGATACTTCGGGATTGTCTTTTTTATTCATTTGTTATTATTATTATTATTATTATTATTATTATAAGAAAAGTGTTTATCCTTTTAAATGACACAATTTATATCTTTTCACTCTCATAAAAGAAGTGGGACCCATATCTTTATTTTTTTTGTCAACTCTCTTTTCTCTTTTATCTATCTTTTACTCTCTCCTAAAATGACACAACTTTACATCTTTTAAAATGACACACACTTTATCCTATTATTATTATTATTAGATTAATTGTTATTATCTTGTTGGTATTGATCTTTGCGCTTCTGAGAATTTAGATTGGAATGTCATCACTCAATATTCCGTAGGTGTCGGATTTATCTTCGGCTTTACCAAGTCATTTTTTAGTTCAGTTTGTGATTGCCAACTTTAATATCAAAATGATTTGATATGCGATTGTATTGGCCAATAAGATGCAATTGCAGGTAGTTGTGCCTTGATATCTACTCTTTCTAGACTTCTATGCCACACATGAAATTCGAAGCATCTCTAATAAGCCTAATAGTAAATTTTACTTCATAATTCAGGAAATGTCTGTTACTATAATAATTTTTTTGTATGATTTTTAGTCTTGTAATTTATAAAACATGACTGCTATAATTTGCCCTTCCACCTCGTAAATGAAGTGTCTCACATTCAGTGCATAAATATAAATGATACAGAATAAAAAAGAAGTGACCTAAGTGAGTTATCATTTGAGAGAGAGAGAATAAGGTTGGTTTTTCTCTCCTAATTCGTAAAATGTAAAATTATCAAATTTATTTAGTAGTTTTTATTAATTGTCAGGTGTGCACACGGTGCGTGTCTATGTGTATATAATATTTTAAACTTTTAGTAAGAGCTAGAATTTTTTTTTTAAATAACGCGATAATATATAATTAAGTGGTATTTTAAAATATTTTTATATGAAAAGACTATTAACATTAAATCCTATATGTTAAACAAAACTAAATCCTTTTTTGAATAATTTTTTGGGCGTAAATTTCATATTGATAGTAAATTTATGGAAATTAATTAACTTTTTAAATATTATTTTGAATATCCAATAATAATAGTAGGAGTTTAATTTTAATTGATGATTTGTGTATTTCTTTAACTGTTATTAAATCACTTAATTAAAAAATATTTTAGATTTAATAATTAAATTGTATTCATCATGTTTTTTTTTTTTTTTGGTAAAAAGTATTCATCATGTTTAAATCATACTACTTTCCATTTTATTTTGAAAAAAAAATTATGTTCTTTCTTTAAAAGTAAAAATATGCCACACTTTTACAAAAATAAAAATAAAAATATGCCACACTGTCTACCAAAATAAAATAAAAAATATGCCACACTTTTTTCATTCAATGCAAATGAACATCTTAGCAGCGGTAATGGGCAACTATAAATATCTCTTTTTGGAGTATTTTTCCTTTTTCAGTATCAGCGCAAGCTGTTTTTAAATATTCTTCTTTTTTTTTTTATAACAATTTTTAAATATTCTTATATCGATATTTAGACTTCAAAAGATAAAATAAAATTTTGATCACTCTATTATCAGGAACTTCATTTAAAATCTTTATATAATCTTTTAAAAATTTTAGTCGACAGTAAAGATTATCAATTAATAGTTAATGACAGAGAACGTTGTATAGAACATAATTTTGTCTCCAAAGAGACTAAATTATATCAAAATAAATTAAAATGTAACACATATTTATTTATTTTTGGTAAAGATAACACATATTAATCTTTTGTGAAAAAATGTGTAATATTTAAGAATAAAGATGACATTATAATTTAAACCTCTCTCTTAAGGATTAGGAGTGTAATTTATCATAATGTTATCCACCCCTATATATTAAAGAGAAAAATGTTTCTGCAGTTACTAGTTACTGCAGATAAGTTATCTGCATTTATTCCCAAAACGACGTCATTTTGGCATTGAAATCTTAAAAAATTATAAATATAAAGACTATTATAACCCTGAAATAAATTAAAATTATTAAAACATCATAATTTCCGTCCCAAAATGACGTCGTATTGGGCTTACTGCAGATAACTTATTTGCAGTAACTGCAGAAAAAGCAAACCGTATATTAAATTAGAATCTATTCTTAAAAATAATTAAATATTTTAATTTACTCTTTCTAAATTTATTTATAACTTCTCTTATTTTAAATTCAAATTCTTTTGAAATAATTGCGCATATCCTCTTTATTATTTTTAATTTATATTTTTAAATGATACTTTAATTAATTATGTACACCGAATTTTACAATTGTATATTTTATATTTTTTTATATTTTGCTGAATTTTAAAAATAATTGAATTGGCAAAATATTTCTAACGCCGGTCTTTGAGTATGTAACCATATTTTGCTTATAGCAAGCGGCGGCGCCGGCCGCCATGGATGTGCGTCACTGCCCGCGTAAGCAGCTGTCACTTTAGTGTGTTTGCACAATTGTAGTTTTAGCTTTAGAACACGTCTTTAAATTTTATAAAATGTTAAAAAAGTCTCGTGTAGTTTTGCATTCAAATTCAAGGTCAAAGTTCCTCTTCGTTTATCATTTTATTAATTTGACAACTACGACTATTATCAAATTGATTGACTCCACCGACTTCTATTGCTACGAACAACAGCGGGTAAATTACTCTTTTAAGTTTTGGTATTGCGTGGTGCGCAATCCACCGTTGGTTTATAATCGTAATAAAATTATTATCCAATCAATTTTGAAGAAGAGAATATTCATTTTCGCCGGAGATTGATAATTTGTATGAACGTAATTGGGTTCCGTTGGTTGGCGAGAATGGCGGAAGAGATCAGCAAAAACGACGTCGGATTAACTTCCAAAACGAGACGCTTCTGGCCTTCTGCCCTCCGTTGGATTCCCACTTCTACCGATCACATAATCGCTGCCGAGAAGCGCCTTCTTTCCGTTGTTAAGTAAGTAATTCTAAATTGTGAGTTGTGAATTGTAAATTGTAAATTGTAATTTCCCTCTTTTACGTTTTCGCTACTAAACCCTAACCCTAAGTTATCGTGGATTGATTTCTAATAACATTAAATAGTTAATATTGTTTGGTTTGAAATTTTTATAAATAATGGGTATTCATATCATCTAGGATGGTTATGGATTGTTTGGCAGGACTCCGTATGTTCAAGAGCATGTTAATATTGGGTGTGGTCCTCCTGGGTCAAAAGTTAGATGGTTCCGTTCATCAAGCGACGAACCGCGGTTTATTAACACTGTTACGTTTGACAGTAAAAATGATTCTCCTACGCTTGTAATGGTTCATGGATATGCTGCTTCCCAGGGTTTCTTTTTTCGCAATTTTGATGCTCTCGCCTCTCGTTTCAGAGTCATTGTTGTTGATCAACTTGGGTGAGTTATACTTCTCTTCATTCTTATGCCATTGCTGTTGATGGGTATTGTCTGAAACTACTTTCCTGAACTATTATATACTTTGCCTGGTCTTGTGCTCCATTTTGTTGTGGGAAAAGATAAGTAAATTGGATATGAGAAATTTCTTAATTAGGTTTCTTTCACATTTTTTCTTTACTTCATTCTTTATTAAAGATTGGATTGGATACACCCCATGTTTTACGGAAACTGACATGAAAAATGTGAGTGCTTATTAAGCTGATTTAGGCCCTTTATTAGGAATGTTGCACCTTCTATATGGGTTTCTTTTCTTCACCATGTTAATTTAGTCCTTTAAAGTCCTCTCCATCCATATTTTGTCGTGCATGTATATTTTTTCCTTATGCCCTGCCCTGCCTTGAATTTTTTTTGCAGTTGGGGTGGATCAAGCAGGCCTGATTTTACTTGTAGAAGTACTGAAGGTTAGTTAAGAATTATGTTTACATTGTCACTGGATAAAATGCAAATCTACGTTGATTTGGAATAGTAAACTTTTACGTTCTTGTTCAACTTGAAAGTTACTGTAGCAACTACTAATAATTTGTTGTCGATCCTACAGAAACTGAGGCCTGGTTTATTGATTCTTTTGAGGAATGGAGAAAAGCCAAAAACCTTAGCAATTTTATACTACTTGGTCATTCTTTTGGTGGCTATGTTGCTGCCAAATATGCGCTCAAGGTGAATCCCTTCACATGTTGCATTAAAATGCTAAATACTACTGATTTCTTTATTTTCCTTTATTAAATCTTCTGATGTCTTTTTTAATTATTTTAATATAGCACCCTGAGCACGTACAGCACTTGATTTTGGTGGGATCCGCTGGTTTTTCATCAGAATCAGATGCAAAGTCTGAGAGGATTACAAAGTTTCGAGCAACATGGAAAGGAGCGGTTCTGAACCATCTATGGGAATCTAATTTTACACCTCAAAAACTCGTCAGGTAAAACTACTGTGTCCCTTTTTTATTATCTTATGTGTAAGTTAGCACTTTTTTTTAATTAGACAGTTTGTGCTGCTTTGCTATAACCACTCTATACTAAACCCCGACTAACGAGGATGGGGTGAGGCCAATCCTTGTATGTAGCCTTACTCTTGTATATTTGCAAAGAGGTTGTTTCCTGAATTCGAACCCGTGACATTTTAGTCACAAAGGAGCAGTTTTGCCAATGCTGCAGGCTCGCCCTCTCGTTTATGCTGCTTTGCTATGTTTGTATTTATTTATTTAAACTGAGGCTTTGATGAAGGTTTATCAGAAAATATAGCATTTTTCATTACTATTTCAGTTCTTCTGCTTCACCTCACACTTGCTAGTCGGGTTTAACGGGAAGTGGTTTTTGTGTTCTTACATGCATGCTTAATATTGTAGAGTCTTTTACTATCTCAAATTGATTGGCTTATGAAAGGCTGTTTGATTACTGCATCGGATTGTTGGACTAGAATATTTGTGGTGGCAACAACATCCATAAATCACCCAAATCTTAAAATAAATTGCCATTGAAATGAAAGGTCGTATATCTATTGATTACTGCATCGGAATGATGATAATGTAATTCATTTCGTTCTGTGTGCACATTGATATTGTCTGACTCACTTCCTTTAATATCTATTGAAATTTTATAGTCACTGAAGTGGGCGAGCATATTGGCTTAGATTCATATGGTTTCTTCATTATTGACTGATGGATTCTGTATATTAATTATAACTCTAAAGTCATGGATGGAATCATCTTGGAAAACTTTTATCTTATAAATAGTTACTGGCATACGGAGCTTGTTGCTTGGGTTGCAAAACATTTTCCGTTGTTAGTATTCAAATCAGATGTGGAATGGTAGGTTGTGGTGAAGAGGGGTTGGGGTCCTGCTTCTTCTTGAAGTAAAAAGTTTGCATTCTCTTTATGCTACATTTGACATTCAATTTATAAATCAAGCTATATGGGTTAATATAAATTCACTGGTTTTCTTTGATTTACTTATGTTACGTTTGTTACGCGGAATGATAATTCCATGGAATTGGAATGGAATTATTTAAAAAGGAAATGATCATTCTCAATCTACTGTTTGGTACCTTTGGGAATGGAAGATCTTTTCAAGCCATTTAATAGTTTGGTGTAGGGAATCAATTTTATTTTATTTTTTAACTTAATAAGATAATGTTGTTGCTAGAAAAGAGCAAATATTATGTTTTATTTGTAAGGAAAAAAATTGAATATGTGCACAATGTTTTGTGTAAAATACTCCATACATTTTTATGACATTTTCTTCATAAGCTTTGGATCAACATTTTTATACTTTTTTTAAAAAAATTCCATTTTTTTTGCATATTTATTATTCTTTAAAGTTATACATAAATATTTAAAATTAATACATGAAAGGTAGGTTAAAAATAAAATTTGAATTTGTGAAAGATAATTTTAATAAAGGGTAATGATTGTCATTCTAGAAAATAAATGAGGTTATGTTAGGAAAAGAAATTAAATCTCATTCCATGAAGCATGGAATCACTAATCCCACCTCTCCGTGACAGGATGGTGATTTTTGGGCTGGTTGACCCTTTTGCCCTTGTTTTTCAAAAAAAATACCACTTTATCCCCTTCCAAAACTATACACCAATATGCACATGTTTGTCCACGTTGACCTCGAGTTACTCGAGTAACTGGGCCAGTTACTCCATTGCATGACTTACTCGAGTAACTAAGGCATGTAGACAACTCAAATATGGATCCACAAATGTTTTTGATTCAAATCAAGTTCTAATGTCTTGTACATGTATTAATGGACTTGGGATGAGTGTTTGCGGGTCTAAAATGATTGATGACAGTTCCCATTCAATTCTTTAAACCCTAAAATGATGAAAACTTTGGAAGGGCATAACTTTTAGCTCGGTTATCCGAATCGGGTGTTCTTTTTTTTTTTTTTTTCGCATAACTTTCGAGATCTGCATGATGGCAAATCCCCCTCATTTTATTTTTCTTTCAAAAAAATGCTTCCTTCATGGGTTTCGGGAAAGACATAGTAATTAGGCATGAAACTTTAAAAGCAATGCCACATGAACATAAATATGTACATAGAAGTTAGTTTAGGAAATTTAATTTTTTTTTTTTTTGTAAATTAGGGTATAAAGAGCTTGAATGGAGATTTTCCTCAATTATTTTGGACTCTCGAACCTATATATGAAGTCCAAATATATAAGAATTGCCCTAAATTGTTTTGACACCTTGAATTGAATTGAGACTGCCCTCAATTGTAAAGGATCCACAAACACTCATTTCAAGTCCATTTATACATGTACAAAAACTTTAGAACTTGGTTTCAATAAAAAATATTCATGGATCTAAATTTGAATTGCCCATTTGCCTGAGTTACTCGAGTAATTGGTCGAGTTATTCGAGTAAGTCATGTACTCGAGTAACTCAGCTCAATTACTCGAGTAACTCGCGGTCAACATGATCAAACAGAAGCAGATTGGTATATAGTTTTGATAAAAGGTTATAATTAATATATATTTAAAAAGGGGGGGCAAAGTGGTAAGTTTTTTTAAATACATGGGCACAATGGTCAATCACTCGTGATTTCTGATTCTAACTTCTAAGGAACGAGGAATGGAATGGAATGGAATCGTCATTCTATGCTATATTTTTCCAACAAAATGAGAATGTTCATTACATAGAATAAAGCACGCAGTGGAATCAGCATTCGCATACCAAACGTATCATTGAGTTATTATTATTGTTTAAATTAATATGTTAAACATTTGATTTTATTAAGTTGTCTTTGTTTAATATTTTTCTATATATATTTCTGGCAGAGGTTTAGGTCCTTGGGGTCCTAATGTAGTCCGCAAGTATACAAGTGCTAGGTTTGGTACTCATTCAACTGGCGAAATACTGACTGAAGTGGAATCAAGTTTGCTGACAGGTACGGCATGATAACAAGTTGATATATGGTTTAGATGTAAGAGTGCATTCTAATTTTTGTTTTTCTGTCTATTAAAGATTATGTATACCATACATTAGCGGCCAAAGCTAGTGGGGAGCTGTGCTTAAAATATATATTTTCATTTGGAGCATTTACTAGGATGCCCCTTCTTCTCAGGTTTGGTGATCATTCTCTTTCTTTTGTTAAATATAGATTTGTCTTCAACTGATTAGTTGTTTTCTTAAAAGAAGGTATTCAGATTACAGATGATACTGTCTTCTAGAGTTCAAAAATCACGCTTCATACTTGGAAAATATAAATATTTATGATACAAAGTCATTATACACTGCTTCATGGGACATGATTTTGGTTAAAGAACAATAGTTTGGTAGCCATACTTCTTGAAGCCAGTGTGGTCCAGGGATGGGTGGAACTCCTGCTGGAAAAATGTTTTGGGGCTCCTGTTTTTGTGATTCTTTTTGGTTTTTTGTTTTGTTTTGTTTTTGGATATAACGATAGTACTGAGGTCTGAGCCTATAAGCTCATACAAACTGCCTGCCCCTCACCACTAGCCCACTCCGAGTGACTTAATTATTTTTATTTTGTGGAGTCTAATACTAATCTCTTGGCATGATTTGAAACCTTGAGATAAAAAGAATTTATATTGACTTCATGTTTACGAATGATATAGTAGCTGCTGGAGGTGTTGTCAAAACTGCATCTGATGATTTGTACAACTACATATCTGTCCCTATCCCGTATCATAAGCAAACCATATGTAATCCTGAGAGGAACAGAGAAAGAAAAAGGAAAGGAAAGAGTTAGTTTTGAACCATTTTTTTTTGTTACTGATATTATCAAGATAACTGTTGCACCTTGCATCGATATGCTTTGTGAAAGAGTAGACCTTGGATTTGTAGTGTGGCTTATTTCTTTGAATATTGAAGCTTGTTGCGTAGGAAAGAGGCATACTTGGAAATGTCCAACTAGCATTCAGCCAAAAAAAAAACCACTAATCTACAATTTTTCCCCCAGAAAGAGCCCATGAGGCAAATTGAAACCACCTTTGGTTTGCAAATTTTAGGTAAATATCCTAAATTCTAATATCATTGCCATATAGCTATGGGCTTTAGCCGAAGCCTGGTTAAGGTTTGCCTATCTGTAGTTTTAAATTCGGACTCCTCTCATTTACTTGATGTACTACTATTCTTGACTTTGTGTGTAATGTTTTATCCTCAATCGCTCTGGTGTTACAGTGCCTCAGAGTGGAAGGTGCCCACCACTTTCATATATGGTTTCCAAGACTGGATGAATTATGAAGGGGCCCAAGAAGCTCGCAAGCACATGAAGGTTCCTAGTGAGATCATCAGGGTCCCTCAGGTATCACTCTCTCCATTTCCCCAAACATGAAACTATTTTCTAAGATTATTAGAAGTAACAAAACTAGTTACTTGTTGCAGGGGGGTCACTTTGTGTTCATTGACAACCCTGCTGGCTTCCATTCAGCTGTGTTTTATGCTTGTCGAAGGTTTCTTACCCCTGATCCAGACAAGGAATCTCTTCCTGAAGGGCTAACCTCTGCGTAGTGTATATAATTTTGTGCCAATTCTGTATATTTTTTTTGCTAATTAAATTTCATAATTTAATGAAGCTTCAGTAAAGTGGAATTTACTGAAAATATTTGTAAAGAAGTTCCAACCGAAACGATTTGTAAGAGATATTTCATGACTGAAACATGTTACGATTACAGCTTGTTGCGCATGTGATAAATGTATCCTGTGAAGGCAAATTTAGGATCAATTGTGATATGAGAACAAATATTTTCACGAAAAAAATATCTTCCTGATTTATGTAAGGCTCTTCAATAGCTGTTCTCATGAGTTGCTAGCTTGAGGAGTTTGTCCTGGTTAATAAGTTACAAGTTTTTACCATTTTCCCCCAACTCTGTTGCTTTGAAGATATGTCCGAATAAAGAAAGATTTGGGGTTCAAAAGGGAATACTCGCCGCGATGACTTGAAGGAGCAAAAACAAGTTTAAGCAGCCACTTTTACTTATCGATGGGTAATTGGGTACAACTGCTCGCCTGACAGGCTTGGCCTGAGTAATATAAAAATGACAAAACCAATAAATGCAACATGTTTTCCTGCATTCTTCCCCTGCATCTCTCCCGTGGATTGTCGTTTAAGTTGTTTTTTTTTAAGTTAAAATTGACAACGACCCCTCATCACCGGATTAAGTGCATATTTGGGAGATTTTTTTTTTTTTTTTTTAAATTTCTCTTCACCTTATAAATATAGAAGTTAGGCCAAATAGATTTTATGCCAAATAGAAGTTAGGAAAGTTTATTTTTATTTTGAGTTTTTAAGTAATTTCTAAGCTAAAAATTTTATACAATTATCTAATAATTTTTAATTTTTTCTTTTAACTTTAACTTTAACTTAAAAGTAACTTTTAAGTTAAAAAAAAAATGTCAAACAAACTTTAAATACGCTGAGTAATTGAGTATGTAAAGTGTCATGAGCTATTAGATTCCGGGTTTTTTTTGTAGTGGCCATTATTAAACTGGACGTTGGGACTCTCTCTAAAGTCAAAAGAAATTCAAGAATACATTAACGCAGGCTTTTGTTTGTTTTGGCCATGCACTACACACTCTAACCTATCGTCTATTTATTCATCACACAAGAAACTTCGTGTCTTTTCCATTTCAACTCTGTCAGTGCCTGGGAATCGGATTCCTTTATATTGTCATTTATTGGGACCCCTGAACACATTCATTTTTCGTGCCAATATATAATTGCTACACAAAATTAGTGGGGGTTGGGGGTCCGCGTTCTGCTCAATACTTACCCCCCTGTCAAAATCGGACGTCCTTATTCTATTCTTCGCCAAAGATATCAATGATGTGGACGTTTAAAATAGACTCCATTTTTTGAGGTAAAGTGAACCCCATTTCTCAGCTAAAACTGGCTTTAAGGTGCAGCCCGTAAAGAAGGGTGGTCTTTAAAAGTATATCAGCTGTATAATAATTTATCAAATGGTGCATTACTTAATTTATACTTCAGGCCTATTACTATTACTATTATTATTGAGTTTTTCAGTTAAGTCGTTAATTAAACCCTTTGCTATTCTTCAGCCAACTCCTTGCCGAAGTTTTTGACACCCTACCATTCTTCTTCACCCTCTGTTGGCAACCAACCTTAACCATTCTTCTTCTGCGCCAGCTACTATCGACGTCACTCTCTACCCATATTAATTTTCAATGCCTTTGATTGTTTAATGTTCTGAGAGATCGAGGGATAGAGTTGCTAACTCCACTTCTCACTAAGATGTTAAAATCATAATGCATTTTGCTCAAAAATTCAAAAAACTGAGAACCCCATGAGGAAAAAACAGATCATTTGGCAAAATACTATAACACGAAACAACTTTTTTTGTGGACCATTTTGCAACACCCAACTTGAACAATTTACTTGCGGAATATGTGGCACGCCAAAAACAAACTTATAGATAAGTGATTGTTGTACTGGTTACCACAAGAATTCACGATTAATATTATTCCAAGTGGAAATCTGCTGTTCTAAGTTCTAACCCTAACTAATTTCAATAGAAATAAATTACAAAACATTCAAAACCCACAAATAAAATCTTTGCATATATTTTTACCAAAAATAAAATAAAATCTTTGCATATATGTTGATGTCTTATTTACGGAATCTTCTCATCCATCAACACCTTTTCATTCTATATTCAAATTAATCTATTAGCAATCAGGTTGTGGCTATTTTTTTTTTTTCTAAAAAACAAAAGACATAGAAAAACAATAACTTTTCGATAAGTGCTACGTTTTCTTTTCTTTTTTTTCAAATTCCTGAGTAAGTTAAACACAGAAAAACATCTGAAATCGACAAATTCAGATGACCCATTCCTCCTTTTTCGATGTCTTTGTCTCTTCCATTCCAAGCTCCATGTCATATCAACGGTTACTTTCAAAAACGTTCCTAACTCGACACGTGGCAACATCGCTTTCTGCGACGATGGAGCTCCTCTCCTTTAATTATAGCAAAATTAACTTCGGAGTTACCTCGCACAAGGAATTTCGGAAGTGCAATTTGACCATTAGAAAACGGCACCGTTGGGTCAAAGCCGTACGAGTCTTGTTTTGACGCAGAAACATAGGACATTAGGACCAATAAAATAAAGAAGTCCATCATGGACCCCCCAGAAAATGATATTTTGATTTAATTCGGTAGAAATTACAAAACAAATTTTTGATAAATTACGAGTTAACAATCAACACGAAAAGATTAGATCATATTTTCTTGAATATTTTCTTTTCAAAAAAATTAAATAAAAATAAATAAATAAAAATCAAGCAGGGGAAGGTAGTGTTGTGGGATCAGCTGAGGATGGGATCTCCGGTCCGACCCGGCAACCTTGTAGCATGAAAACAACATCAGTCATAGATGGTCGATCAAGAGGATCAGGTGCTGTGCATAAAAGACCTACTTTGATACCTAACAAAAACTCTTCCCATTCTGATGACTCTGGATCAAGCTCAAGCAAACCAGGCTCTAACAGCTCTGAAATTTGACCCTTTTGTAATTGCCTCTTCACCCACTTCACTATGTCTTCATCTTCCGTGAACATCACTGGTTTCCTCCCTGTTAGTATCTCCAACAATACAATCCCAAAGCTGTATACATCAGCTTCCTTTGTGGCTTGCCCAGTTAATGCAGCTTCTGGTGATACATAGCCTAAGGAACCAACTGGGGTGGATGATGAGGATGCTTCTGTTTGGGTTGCTGCTATTGTTAACCGTTCCAACCCAAATTCTGACAAATGGGCTTCAAAATCTGCATCAAAGAGAACATTCTGAGGCTTCACGTCACCGTGAACTATTGGCACTGAGTGCAAGAATTCTAGACCTCGAGCAATGCCTAGTGCAATGAGATGACGCATTGGCCAATTCAATACATGGCCATCTTGCTGAGATGCCTCTTGAAGAAGTGTCCCTAAGTTCCCATTGGGCATGTAGTCATAAACAAGAAGCCTTACATCAGGTGGTCCTGCATAATAACCACGCAAAACTGTTAAATTACGATGCTTCACTTTGCCAAGTGATTCCGCTTCTTTACGGAAGGTACCCTCATTCATGAATCCCGCAAAAAGGCGACGAATTGAGAGAACCATCCCATCATTGAAGGAGGCTTTGAACACAAGGCCATATCTTCCCCTACTCAACACATTTTCTTCATCAAAGTTTCTGGTTGCTTCTAATGTCTCAGCATAAGTGATCTTGTTGTTGAACATTACTAGTTTTGGGCCCCCATTTTCCCCACTCCCTCTGCTTGCACCACTTGTAGCAGGGCTACGTTTCTTCTCACCCGTTACCCCTTCTCGAAGCTTATTGCGCCACCTGAAGAGGCTGTAAACATAGCCACAACAACACAATGCCAAAAGACAGAGTCCAACCACAGCCACCCCTATGAAGATTATTAGCCTTCTCCTCTTTCGCCTTCTTACATTTGCACATTCTCTATGCAAAGGTTTTCCGCATAGCCTCTGGTTCTTTCCAAACACAGAAGGGTCATTGAATCGAGAACCAAGCATTTCTGGAATCTCACCCTCGAGATTATTACTGGAGAGATTTAAATGCTTCAAACCAGGAATGCGTGAAAGGTTAACTGGAATTTCCCCGGTCAATAGATTTGAAGATAGACTCAACACTGTCAACTTTGATAATTTAGACAAGGATTCTGGTATATGACCCGTCAATTGATTACCATCCAACTCGATTGAAGTCAAAGCGGAACATTGTGATATTTCATCTGGGATATCACCCTTCAAACGATTTGACTGCAGCTGGAGCACTTCTAGTTGAGAACAACCACCAATCTCTCGCGGTATTGTTCCAGAGATGCTATTGTGAGACAAAGAGAGAACAATTAAGGAACTAAGAAATCCATAGGTTGGTGGAATGTGGCCAACAAAGGCATTGGAAGTGAGATTAAGATACAGTAGACTAACTATGCTGCTGAAGCCCTCAGGAAGAGCACCACTCAAATTGTTTTCCTCAAGTGCCACAACTTGCAGGCTTGGTAATCCAAAAAGCTGAATAGGCAATTCGCCCGAAAGGTTTTGCTTGCTCAAATCCAACACTGTTAGTTTCATCAAATTGCCCAGAGTATCAGGAATCCTTCCTGAAAACCCACAGTGACTCAAATTAAGAACCTGCAAAGCTGTCAAGTTCCCAATGTTAGATGAAACTTGGCCCGAAAATCTGTTGTTGCTGAGATTCAAAGCACTCACGTTGCCTAATTGCATGATCTCAAGGGGCACATTCCCTGTTAATTTATTGTTGCTTAAATTCAGAGTCTCCAGGGAAGAAAGTGTTCCATAGCTCGTTGGTATTGAACCAGTAAAAAGGTTACCACCAAGAGATAACTCCTTTAGGTTCCTCAGTTGCCCGAGAAACGAAGGAATAGGACCAGATAACCGGTTACCCTGAAGATCAAGAACCCACAACAACCTGCAATTCACAATGCTACTGGGGACCACACCGGATAATGAATTATTTGCCACTCTCAGTTCTTCTAACCTCACAAGATTCCCAATATCAACAGGAAGAATACCTGAAAATGAGTTTCCCGAAAGATCAAGAGCCCTTAACGACGTCGCATTGGTCAACCAAGACGGAAACGGAGCGTGAGTAATGTGATTCTCCTTAAGGTCCAAAAACTCCAAAATGCTAACGCAGTTCCCACTTTGCGGCTTGGAAATGCCCGTGAGCTTATTAAAGCCAAGCTGAACGATTCTCAGAGACCAAGTGTTGTTGTTGTTAGTCGAATGTACATTGCAAAACAAGGACGTGGGGACCGAACCAGAAAGTTGATTCAGCGACAGTGACAGCACTTGAAGCTTTGGCATCATCCCCATGGTGGAAGGTATCAACCCACTGATTGCATTACCCTCTGCGCTCACATGCACCAATGAGGAACAGTTAGCAATTGCAGAAGGCAAGGTCCCTTGTATTTTGTTGAAGTCTACCCAAAGATACTCCAGATTTTGCAATGCTCCTATTGTCACCGGTATTCCGCCGGTGAAGCCATTGTAGGACAAGTTGATGAGCTGAAGCTGAGATTTCGAAGTGAAATTCCCCGGAATGTCACCGGAGAATGCATTCGACGATAAATCGAGGAACCGGAGGGAGTTTGAGAGGTGACCGGGGACGGTGCCGGAGAGAAGGTTGTGAGCGACGTTGAGAATCTGAAGGTTGGTGAGGTTGAGAATCGCCGGCGGAAGGTTGCCGGAGAGTTTGTTGTTGTGAAGGTAAAGGGCGCGGAGGAAGGAGCAATGTGAGAGAGAGTGAGGGAGAGAGGAATTGAAGTTGTTGGAGTGAAGACTTAGCTTGCGAAGTTGTTGAAGGTCGGAGAGTGAAGGAGCGAGTCGACCACTGAGTTGAAGACGAGGCAAGCGAAGTTGGCGAACTCGGTTGTTGAAACAGAGAATGCCGCGCCAATCACAGGGAGCGAATGGCGTGGATGGATCCCAGCCGTCCAAGGAACCAAGAGGGTCTTCAAGGTTGATCTTGAAGGCTATTAAGGCTTCGATCTCCGATTGAGTCGCGTTGTTCTGGGCACACGTTAAGGTTAAGCACGTCACTGCCATGAAGCTCAGAAATATAGCCGTTGTTGCCATTTGGGTTTGGAGAAGGAAGAAGGAAGAAGGAAGAAGAAGAAGAAGATAAACTGTGGTTGGTGGGTTACTGTTGGAACTGTCAAATAATGTATGAGTGAGTGAGTGGGAGCTTAATGTGGGTTCGGGTTCTGGCTTCTGGGATTGGCGTTTCTTTGTACAGTGAGGAGCGTTTGATGTTGCCTACTGCAAACGTTGTTCCCACACCACGACCACAATAGTGTGTTTTATGTTACCATATTACTGTTTGGTGCCTGTTTTCTGTGCTCATTGGTCGTGTCGTTTGACCGATAATTGAGGTCACCAATATTTGTATTATAATCAAAATTATATAGATCTGAGATTTTAATTTCTAGTTTTTTTTTTTTAATGATAATAATAATAATAATAATTAATACACATACTTATGACGCGATGGTTTCACGAATTCTTGAGCTAAGCATTCAAAGTGTAGCAGTATTTATGAATAAATGGGGAATGCATTATTTTTCACATGAATCGTGCGAAAGTTATGCGATAAATTTATCCTGTGAATGCAAATTTAGGATCAACTATAATATGAGATCAAGTGTTTTCAGGCGAAAATTATCTTCTGATTTATGTGAGGCTGGCTCCTTACAATTTCAATTCCCACGTGTTGCTAACTTAAGGGGTTTGTCCTGGTTAATAAGTTACAACTTTTTACTATTTTTTCCAACTCTTGTTGCTTTGAATTGAAGACATGCCCATGCCCGAATGAAGAAAGAATCGGGGTTAAAAAGGGAGTACAACCGCGATGATTTCAGGGGGCAAAAACAAGTTTAAGCAGCCACTCGTACCTACCGGTGGATAATTGTGTATTAAACTTATGCTCACAGAGTCACAGTATACAGGCTTGGACTGAGTTCTATAAAAATGTCAACAACAATGACAGCAACATGCTTTCGTGCATCTTTCCCGTGTGACTGTCATTAAGATAAAATTGACAACGACCCATCATTACTGGACTAAATACGCTGCGTGACTGGGCCTGCAAAAGTGTCATGAGCTATTAAATTCCGGGTTTTTTTTAATGGTGTAGGCCATTATTAAATTCTACATTGGGACTCTCTCACAACTCAAAAGAAATTCAAGAATATATTAATGCAGGCTTAAAGGCTTTTGTTTGTTTTAGTCATGCACTGCACCCTATCCCATCACATGTTTAATTTATCACACAAACAACTTAGGTCTTTTCCAATTCAACTCTCTCACAATTCAATTCAATTCAATTCTCTAAAAAGATACGATATGATTATATAGACAATTATAATTATATAAATATAAATTAATGGTGATAAAAAATATTAAAATAGATAATTATTAAATCATAACAATTAATTTATTTTTATATGATTATAATTATCTCACATAATCATATCATTTTATTTTTAGAAAATATGAGAGAATTTATTTCAACGAATTAAATTCCTTTATATTGTAATATATTCATGTCCATGAGCATACATTCATTTTTCCTGCCAATATATAACTGTTTCACAAAATTAATAGGAGTGCGACGACGATGGGGACATTTAAAATAGACTTTATTTTACGGGGTTAAGTGGAGTGGCTCGCAACCTGTCCTAAATGAGTCGGGTTGGGATGGCCTAAATGAGCTGTCAACCCGATACAACCCGATCCGATACAACCCTAACCCAAACGAGCCAGCCCTCGGGTTAAACCGGACAGCTCGCGGGTTGGGTATTTTTTTTTAAATTAAAAAAAATAAAACGTTTGGTTTGAGCGTTTTAACGCTGAAGACCATAATCCTTTTCCAGCATCAGGACGCTAAAACGTTTGAGCTTTAACGTTTTAACGCTAAAGACCTGCGTATTTCTGGCTTTGACGTGCAGCAGCGCGCTAAAACGTTCTGGATGGACGTTTTAGCGCTCCAGACCAACATCTTTTTACTTCTTTCTGTAGCAGGGCGTGTTCTGGATGAACGTTTTAGCGCTCAACACTTAGAATTTTTTCTCTTCTTCAGAATCTTCTTCCTTCTCCTAGAGCCAACCCGTGAGCTTTTTTCCGAGCCAACCCGCGAGCTGATTATCGAGCCAACCCGCGAGCCAACCCTAACCCGGCTCGGGTTGGGCTGGGTTGGGTTTTCTGGCTCGTTTATTTTTTCGAGCCAACCCTAACTCGACCTGATTTTTACGGGTTGAATGCGGGTTGGGCCGGGTCGAGCCGGGTTGGCCCGTTTTGCCAACCCTAAGTGGACCCCTTTTCTCGGCTAAATGGGTTTAAGGTGCAGCCTATAAATAAAGAAGGGCTGCCTTTAAAATATATCTGCTACATAATAATTTATGAAATGATGAATTAGTTAACTAATGAGATTTTTTTAAAGCGCTCTAGGTCTATCATTTTATTGGGTGGTCTTTTATGCAAAATAAAAAAATTAATTTTATTTAAATCTCTTTTTTATAAAAATAATTCTCTCCAAATTCTTTCCTTTTTTTACTTTTTGGCCGGGACTATAATTAGGGGTGTAAATGGGCTGGGCTGGGCTTTGGCCTTTTGGCTCAAGCCTACGTCAAAAAAAATTCAGCCTATCTGGCCTACTGGCCTATTAAAGGCTTTATTTGTAGGCCAAGTCCGGCTCATTTTTAAAAATAAGAAAGTCTGACATGGCCCACGGCAGGGGCCTTGTAGGCCTCCCACTGTAGATACTAAGCAAAAAAATAATTGTATAGAGCAAAGAAAGTTTCATTCATGCATGCACTAGTACTTCTGATAAGAAAAAAATGACAAACAAGAAAGAGTCAACATAATACCCCAGCTCTAGAATGTATATCATAGAGGAATAGAGTCAAAGAAATGGAGGAAATAAGAAAAATACAATTACCAGATGTTAAAATAAAGTTTACAAGAGAATGTTATTTATCTAAAAATCTTTAAACCACCATCAAGACAAGGGAAATAAGAGTATTATTAAAAGATCTTCATCAGTGACATCATAATCCAGCAAGGTACCCATTACTCCATTATATTAAGCTACAACAGCATGTAAAATTTGGAGACATTAGACAAGTAAGAGATATTAGTATTTGGTACTTTACGTCTTTGCCACATAAAATAATATTATTTTATTTTAATAAATTAAATAGGCTAGTTTATAAGGCTGTAGGCCAGGCTTGACAAAATTGGCATATGGCCTATTTGTTAAAAAAACTTTTTTATAAGCCTAAGCCTACTCTACTTTTTTGAAAGGCCGGACTTTTGCTGGGCTCAATGTAGGCCGGGCTGGGCCAGCCTGACCCATTTACACCACTAACTATAATACATCGGTAGCATTAAAAATATGCTTTTAACTAATGAGTTATTGGTTAAGTTTAATTAAATTTATATAAAAATATGTAATAAATATATTAAGTTAATGGATCATTTTCCTTTCGTTAGATGTTAAGTTTGAATCCGAGAATTATAATTATGGTCATAAAATAAGTACCGCCGGGTGGGTTACATGAGGAAAATATTATGGATCCCAAGCGTAGCATGTAATAATATAAACAATCACTTCAATCTAAAATTTTAAAGTTTTGAGTTAGGGCATTTTCAATGATTTATATTATTTTCTAAGATATTCCCTCACGCAAGAGTTATTTGGGCTAGAAGTGTGGATATTGTACATGTCTGATTTTTGGTTTACCTTTTGTGTTTTTTATTTTAATTCCACTTTAAAGTGAAGGGCGGTGAGGATCGAACTTGTGACCTTATAGTCACTCAAGTTCTAATATCATGTAAAGAATCACTTCAATCCAAAACCTTAAGGTTTTAAGTGAAGACATTTTTAATGATTTATATTATTCTCTAACAAATAACATTTTTTTGGGACAATTTTGAAAAACTCAACTTGAACAATTTACTGATTGAGTAAGTAGCATGCCAGAAACAAACTTATGTATAAGTGTTCTTGGTACTGCCCAGCACAAGAATTCACAGAAAAAAAAAATAGTATTCCAATGATAATCTGCTGTGTTTTAAGTTCTAACCTTTACTCATTTCAATAGTAATAAATTACAAAACATTTAAAAGCCATAAGTAAAATCGTTGCATATATGCATGTTGTTGCCTTATTTATAAAATCTTTTCATCCATCAACACTTTTTCACTCTCTAGCCAAATCAATTTATTAGTAATCTGATTGTGGATATTATTTTCTTTAAAAAATGAGAGAAAAAAAACAAATCTTTCTAGAGAAACAAGAACTTTTCATTAAGTGCTGCATTTTTTTTTTTAATTCTTTAATAAATTAATCAAAGAAAAAAAAAACTGAAATCGAAAGACGTCCCATTTCTCCTTTTTCGATGTGTTTGTTTGTTCCATTCCAAGCTCCTTGTCATATTAACGGTTACTTTCGAAACGCTCCTAACTCGACACGTGGACACAACACTTTCTGCGACGATGGAGCTCCTCCTTATAACGAGAATGGCTTTGGCGTTATGTCGTGCAAGCAGAAGTGCAATTTGACCATTTGAGACCCGCAAGGAATAAGTATTTATAATTAAATATTTGAATTCTTGATGGACTAATTAATAATATAAATTACAAAAAAATATTGAAAAATGATAACAATAAATTACAATCCAGAGGTGTAAATGGGCTAAGCGGCCTACCGTCTAACTTATATTAGGTCAGACTTGGTCTGTTATGAATAATAAAATAGAATAGGCATATGCTTTTAAAAAAATCTATTTAAAATACAAGGCATAGACTTTTTTGTACATATCGGGCCTATAAATCTACAGATCAGCCTATATCATATTATTTATTTTAAATAAAATAAGTAAATTATTATTTTAATAATTTTGAATAATAAAATAATATTATTTTAGTTTTTCTTTTAATTGTTGAATGTTTAATAGGATTAAACAGGCTAACAGGCCAATGTCAAAGCTTTTATTTTTTAAATATAAATCAGACCAGACTTGTAATTTGGGCCTACACAGGCTAACAAGTCAGGTCAGACTCTGTTTTTTACATGTACTTAACCTATTTAAACCAAAACGTAACCTAAGTTAGCGTATTTACATCAACATATTGAAGTATTCTTTATCCAGACGCCTTCATCAAATATTTTATCTGATTGGCCTTAGAGAATCATGTTCAGGTCAATCTTCGAGTCTTATGCCCCTTCAAAAGGGAAGATCTATTAAAGTATTTAGGACACGACATGTCCATGATGCACCCGTTGGACTCTGCTATTATTATGCAGGGTGTGGTATATATATATATATATATATATATATATATATATATATATGGGCAGATCCTTTGACACCGGTGTCAGATTTGAAGTTTGACACCTCATCTGAAAGCCGTTAGATCAAAAAAGATCAACGACTCTGATTTGTAAGCATGTAGCACCATTGATCTTTTTTGATCTAACGGCTCTCAGATGAGGTGTCAAACTTTAGATTTGACACTGGTGTTAAAGGATCTTATCTCATATATATATATATATATAATATAATAAGATATTATGTTTATATATTTTTATGTCTACTTTACCTACTCGTCTCTAATATTATTGGATCAGAATTAAAAAAAAAAAAAAATTAAAATTCCCATCTAATGTATTGAAAAAAAAAATAAAAAAAAATATTCTATTTCAATATATATTATAATGCTCTTGTTCGGGGCAGTGTACTGACAACAGGAGAAACCGAGAGAGAAAAGGGTTCCTTTATCGAGAAAATTAAGGAAAGAAATTAAAAAGAATGCATACATTATATTATTCATTAGGATTGATTTCGAGTTGAAATGATCAACTTCACTTTTATAATAAATTAAATTCACCCTAATCAAGTGTATCAATCCATAAAGAGTACGGGAAAATTATAAAAGTATATAACAAGGCAACTTATTCTTCTGGTAATCTTTAAATCTTTATAAATTTTTAATTAAAAAACAATAAATTTATTTCACAAGCTTGCTATGTGTTTTTTTTTTTTGGAATTAACTTAACTTTAATTATTTCTTTAAGGTGAGTTGAATTTTTTTGATATTCTCATAAGTTTCGATTTTTTGAATCAACTGAGACTAATTCAGAGTGCGGGACGAGTCAATAAAAAGATATTTAAACACCTCTCAAACATGACACGTGAAAATTGAACTGAATATCTCCCTGACTACCAATTATAACAGCATGTTACGACGTGGCTTTTTTTACATTGGACTAATCCGATTCACATGGAATTTTAAGTGTTAATAACCTCTCCTAAAAAAAAATAAAAAAAATGTACAGAAATTGACGCGGACGAATCAAATAGCATTCATAGCACAGTCATTTTATTTCCACGCGGACAATGTATTTTTGCATTTGGGAGTTTAAAGTTTAAACCAATGGCCGTTCACCCACCCAAGATAAGTTTTTAGTTCCATCATAAATGGGTAGGCAGGTTAGCCAGAATTGTTAATATATACTCAATTCATGGATCAATCCATTTAAATAGTTAAAAAAAGTAAATAGAGTTGTCATATGGGGACCTAGGTGTAAATGGATTAGATATTAAGTTGTTGATAAATTTTCCAATTGTATTTTTCAATTTTATTGATTTTAATATTTTTTTTTTGTGAATTGTGAATAATTTTTAATTTTTTTACAGTTTTTTAATAAACTGACCCTTATTTTGTGCGTGAATGAGTTGGTTAATATATTAATAACGGCGTATATTTTTCTCATATTACGTGATAACATATCTTTTTTATTCATACATAAAAAGTTATGTTAATATTTATTTATTTATTTTAAAAGAGTGAAATCCATATAGTCTATGTCTATAATAGGAAATGACAAGTCTTCTATGACATGTGACTCGTATTCGCCATTAGTAATTAATTGTCACTCGATTTGATTTTTTCAAAACAATAATAATTGATTAAAAACCTCAAACAATATGGACTAATAACTTGCAAATTCCCTTATAAAAAATGAATAAATTGATATATGACGTTGAAAATTAGTAAAGAACTAATTTAATTCAAAATTTAAATTGTTGAGTTTTATATATTATTCTCTAATATATCCGCTCATGTAAGAGTTTTTTGGATTTGAAGTTGCATATGCTTAATTTTTTATTTATCTTGTGCTTTATTTAATTTCACTAGAAAGTGGAGGTGATGAGGATTAAACTCGTGACTTCGTGATCATTGAAGTTCTAATACTATGTAAAGAATCAATTCAGTCCAAAACATTGAACTGCTAGTTAAGAATCTTTTTAATATTTTATATTATTATTTAACAATATGCACTAATATAGGTTTAAATACAATCTAGAAAAATAATATAAGAAAGAAATAAAATGTTTAATGGTTCACTGTCCAAGTGTATGCTTCAAAAAGAGAAAAAAAAGATATAAATAAGGAAATTTTAAATAATCGACTATGGGTGCTGACTGCTGAAGCCAGTGAGCCTTGTATTAATGCAACAACACATGTCCGTGGTGGGACAAATTTGTACGGGCATTCTGATGCAGTCGAATAAGATATCCCATTAACAGCAATATTGAAATAACACCCCAATGTTACAAAATGTTCTTTCCGTGAGCTGTTTCTGAGTCAGTTTCGTTGTGTAACATTGCTGTTAATGAAATTGAACCATAAGAAATTATGAAGATTAAATTTATATATTAGTGCAAGTGTCATTACTCATGAGAGAAACTTAGGCCATTTGACAATATGGGGCGTGTATTTTATACGCTTAGAATGCTTTCAAAAAGCTATTTTTCGGTGGAAGATATTTATCGCTAACTGGCATTGCAAAATTGTTTTTATATATTTTTTTAATTTTCTTAATGAGTTCTGCACGGTGAAAAAAATTAATTAATTACAATTTAAATAAAAAATTATGAATTTATTGTTATTTTAAAATTATTTACGCGTTTGTCATGCTTGGATTATGCGTTATCAGTCATACCTAAATTAAGCGTCACTCATGCATAAATAGTTTCAAAGCATAAATTAAATTAATTAAATTTTTTGTCGTTCCACGGGGAACTTTTTTATTTTTTATTTCCTGCTTTTAAGTTTAGTGGGATTCTTTGGGGAAACTCACGGATCGTGTCACTTAACGCGATTTCAATCATTCAAAGCAATTAGCTTTATAATATCCACACACAAAAAAAGCAATTAGCTTTAAAATAATATTAATGAGTTTTCCTAGAGGAGTTCATGAAACTTATTAAAAAAATATGAAAGTAATTCTGCAGGTCTATTCGCGGAACTAAACACCTCTCACCCCGAAAATAACTTTGAAAATATATCAATTGGGTAAAAATATAATTGAGGAACCTGAATGGTCAAACAGCCGAGAAACTTAATCTTCCAATAATTATCAAAGTTGTGAGAAAGAATGGACCATACCCACAGTGAACAGAAAGCGTTCAATGGATGCCTTGACTTGACTCGTGAAGTCGTGATGGATTGTTCTTTGCAACTCGCACCGGGTACAAATCCTTCTGGCTATTTTTAAATGTACCTCAAAATTTACAAATTGTTTATTTTTGAACTCAGTAATTTTTCTGAGAGAGAGAGAGAGAGAGAGGAGGGAGTTATACTAATTAAATACAAGAGTATGTATATATATTTAATCTTTTGTCCACGTTTATTTTCTTTTTTAAATTCTTCAACACATAATATGAGATCATGAACAATTTAATCCTCGGCCCAAAAAAAGGGGAAAAAATTATTATGTGAAATCTAATTGCTAGTTAATTTATCTGAGCGAAGTATGATAAATCTGAATATACATAAATAAAAATATTATTTTTCCCTCATTGATTATGCATCCTTGAAATATCAAAAATTGACAAAAAAAATTAAAAAATATGAATTTTTGTAATGAATGTAATGATGTAATAAACAAATAAGATGTGTTACATCACTTTAAAAACAGAAACTAGTAGTGTAGTATCTAAGAATCCATCAAAGCCCATTTATTTATGTCAAATCCTGTTATTCCCAACGCATCCTGGAAATCGTAGGTTAATTGGTGCAGCAAATATTTTAAATGGGGAACGAGATATCATTTCCAGATTTCCCCGCACAAAATCTTTCTTTCTTTCTTTTGTTTTCCTTTTCTTTTTATACTATAATCTTGGGTGGAGTCTCAAGTCTCAACCGTGATATGCAACAAAAGGTTTTTCTCAGATGTCACTGCAATTGGCAAAAATAAGCCTGCACCAAAAACTATTAGGCTGTTAAAAAGGAAAGAAGGAAAGAATTACGTTAGAACAAATAATCATGCAATCTTATTCACGAACAAAAGATGAAGATGAATTGAGGTAAGAAGCATTTAATTTTAATTAATCGCTATCATCTTACATTTCTTTTCACTGTACAACCAGAACCTAGAAGTCGAAAGTGGAAGAAGACTGCAAAGCTAATTGAACCGACTTGAATTTCACGTCGGTGTAACTGCGTAAATGTCATTTTCTCAAGCTCGGCTCAAAGGGTAGACACTGTGTCGTTCCAATTATGGGATTTCCTGCTCTTACGTCCGGCTAAGAAGCCAAGTCCAAAAATCTTCTTTGGGGCCTCACCCGAGTTTATAAGACCAACCAGCTTCGCAACAAGTGCTGCACTTTCCCTTACGTGGTTCAAGTCTCTTGTATTCGACCATAGGAGCCATGCTAATTGTATGCTTCTGTGCTTACTTTTCAAATCAATACGCCACTTCAGGTAAAGTTCCTCTCTTTCCTTCCTCCAAAACTTCTTATGCACTTGCTTACTTAGCATTTTCCTCTCACGATCCAGAGACAACAGGCTGTCCATTAAAATGGGGGGGGGGGGGGGGGGGGGGGGGGGGGGGGGGGGGGGGCGGAAAGTGTAAAAATACTGGACATGACATAAAAATAGAGAGATTGTGTCTGGATATTCCTATTTATGTGCCTTTATCTATGTGTTCGATATAGAATAAGTTTCGTAAGTGAGACACCAGTCACTATTTCTCATGAGATGATCTCGTGCTTCATATTTTCAGGATGTTGAAAGGCCAAATTTAGCATTACGCTTGGATGTGGCTAGAAAGTATCTTTTTACTCTTGCACTTCATGACCATGAGCATATCAATATGGAGTTTTATATCAGTCTGCAAGAAATTTCTACTAAACATACTTTTCAAACAATGTGGTCTATTTTCTTGGTTTTTTATTTCTCAACATAACCTTCCAGTCAAAAAGAAATATTTAAACAATTATAATGTGAGTTCAAAATGCATAAACGACAGAGCACAAATGTCTTATATGAGATATAACAAAAATATTACCCATGCAGAGTGGACGAATCTGTCACTGAGAATCAATCAATATGATTGGTCATGTTTGCAAATGCAAATTTGAATCGCTTGTCGAAAATCTACTTATGAAACAAAAAGATTTTACCTCGAATTAGGTGTGACATCCAGACCATCTTCTCCTGTAATGTAAGTTCCCCTAGAAAAAGTATCCTTAAGAAAGGACAAACGTCTGAGCTCTACATCCAAGAACACGGAATCCGAAAGTTCACCTTTGATGAGAAGGAAAAAATAGGATCTATGTACCAGTGGTACATTACATGCATCCCAAAGTTCGATTATATCTCTCTGCTGCATCTCAAATTTTGAAGGCATCATAGCTCCCGGAACTCCATGGAAACTGACACCTTTTACTCTGTTCATACGTTTATTGATTCCAGGTGTCCTTGCACATACCTATCACGCATATAAAAAACACAGAGACACATGGGCAAAGGCTTCATGAAGGAACTCTGAGATGATCATGTGACATTTAATTAAGTTATAAGGCTAACCATGCACGAAAGATCCGAGGTTGAGAAAGAGAATTAGATAAGACATCCTATTTTCTGTATGAAGATAGCTATATATATAAAAACAGAACTAGTTCGTGGTAGCAAAATTACATTTTATAAATATTTTTTAGTACAGAATTGAATTCATAGATAATATTTGGTGCTCAAGTATGCGTAAATGCCAATTGCTTTAGTTATTCTGACTGATAAAAAGCCAAGTCTGCTGCTCACCTCTTGTTAAACGGCATGAAGGATTTTAAAGCAAATGGGATAATTTTATATATGCTAATCAATTGGATCTCAAAACCTACAATTTCCACACACTATTCATATCATGTTTAAGAATTAGGATAAGTTTCATGTTCTAATATCCCAGGATCATCTTTCCACCAATAATATATATATATATATATATATATATATATATATATATAGAGAGAGAGGGATAGATCCTTTGACACGAGTGTCAAATTTAAAATTTGACACCTCTTCTGAGAGCCATTAGATCAACAAAGATCAACGATTCTGATTTGTATGCATGTGACACCATTGATCTTTTTTTATCTAACAGCTCTCAGATAAGATATCAAACTTTAAATTTGACACTGATGTGAAAGGATCCTAGGATCCTTTGACACCAATGTAAAATTTAAAATTTGACACCTCATCTGAGAGCCATTAGATCAACAAAGATCGACTCTGATTTGTAAGCATGTGACACCATTGATCTTTTTTGATCTAACAGCTCTCAGATAAGATATCAAACTTTAAATTTCACACTGATGTTAAAGATCCTACCTTATATATATATATATATATATATATCATGACATCATCAGAATATGTGTTAGTATGTGCATTTGTGCTTACCATGTGATCATCAAAGTCCTTGTTCAATGGCTTTGACTTAGCCCTTTCATTCATTCTTACCACAAAATTGAGGACGCTGGCAGTATCCTCCGTATCAGAATCCATAACAGATTCTACGTCTTCAACTGGAGCATCCATCTCGTGAATTACAGAATATTTTCTGGACGACCTTCTCTTTTTAGCATTTAACTTCGATTCAGATAGCTTGTCAAGAAAGCACGACAAACCACTACGATATTCCTTCTCGACCCCAGCTGGTAATGTGCTCGATACCTGTTCCAGCTCATCAAGTTGAGGAGGCAACGTAGTTTTAAGCTCTTGCCCACTGGATTCCTTTGAGTGGTCAACAAAAAGGTCGTTGGTCCTTTGAAGGTCCCGAGTTTTTTGCTGCACAGCATCTTGACTATTATCTAAGGTAACATGACTCAACTCACTATGCCCATTCCCTGAGGATGATTTAGCATCTTCATTCACGACTTGTATCATGGGTGTATTTCCTCCACTTTCTTCAAAAACAGGAATCGAAGTATTAACATCTGCTTTGTGGTCTGTTTCCACTTCTTTTATTTCAATGCATGGAAGTTCCATGCAGTTATCTTCAGATTCAGCTCTGCTAGCTATCTCCTCCCAACCTTCACATGGATCAGGCCCAACAAACATGGGAGGACTGCCATCCAAGAGAAAGCTGTCTTCAGAATTCTCAGGTTGCTGTAAAAAGTGCTCATTCGAAATAGACACACTGGATGTTGTTCCGTTAAGATTCTCAGATCTTTTGTCCGTCCCGGGACGAGGATTATTAGCAACACCTGACGATTCTGAGGCCACATCTTTATCTACTCTTAAAAGCCGATCTTTCCCAACTGACTGGAGCAGATTTTCAACATGAGATTGAAAGAGATCACGTTGCCGAGTCAATTCTTTGATCTCTTTATCCATCTGCTTATTTCCAAATTACGGGGGAAAAAAGAACAAACTGAATAAAAATTATCAAAATAAAATGGTCTGCCAAATTTGTCTCTTCTCTATATTTTCTTAATGTAATTATGCTATCCTTGACTGTTAATTGTCTCTTGGCAACAGATTGAAGAAACGATTGATTGTTGACATATGTGCTATGTACATCTGATTATAGGTCCAAGTCAAAGACTGGGGGGAAGTATGGAGCTGACGATTAATAGGAGTTCTAATCTACAGTCCTCCTAAGGGTCCTTATTACGTTGATCTCAAATTCGAAGTCTTCGAAGTAACGATAGCTTTGGACAATTATAATTACGTAGCATTATTTAAGAAACTAGGATATAATAATTCACAAGCAATGGGAATATTTTACGAAAAGGTAAAGGATTTTTGCTCATAAGCACAATGGGTTCTATTGAGGAAATCATAAAAAAAGAAATGAAAGACATACTATGCAAAGGGTTGTACTATATTCAGCAGCAAACTCAACCTTACTAGGAGATGAAACTATCCTCGCAGTTCATCTCTGATGTGAATGAAAATTGTGTATCATGGTGCAATCAGTCTGATTCTTTTTTTCATTCAAAGCAAAGCTAGTGAATAAATTTAACCTAGTTCAGCAATGCATAATTTTTTTGAAGTGAACCATAAATGTAAATATTGTTCAACGTCATATTATAACAGTCGATAAAAAAAAAACCCATCTTATTGAATCCGCCCTCACCTGTTCAATCCGAAGTTCTCTCTCCTTAAGTAAGGTGGTATTTGGGCCGAAGCTCCTCAACTCATTCTCCATTCTAGCCAATTCGTTTTGCAGTTTCTTTACCAACACCTTGTCTGACATCACTAAATTGACCTGAGCATTAGTAGTCACCTGTTTTGCGCAGCCAGCAAAAAATAGAGTATTTTTTGACTGCTCAACCTGGCTGCGTGCAGGACTAATGGTACAAATGATGGCTGTTCTGGCATTGCCTCCTAAAGAGTTATGCAGAATGCGAGTAAGCTTAGAGTCTCTGTAAGGTATGTGTCCATTTCTTTCCTTGCTGCGTTCAATAATTGTGATATAGAATTTAGACAATTTATGTAATTAATAGTAACATGGTGTGGAGATGAAAAAGGAAGGAATTATAAAATAAGAGAACTTTCAATGATGATAACGTGGTGCAGGGGGATGCACTCAACATTTGAGAAGTCAAAGATGAATCTAAACTTGTTTATCATAAGAGGAGCTGATGGTAGGGGGAGATTTATCATTACATGGGCTGAGCTACAGACGTCTATTATAAGTGGGTTTAGATATTACATTTTAGGGTTTTATTAGTGTTATGTTACATGATTTAAGTGTTGTTTCCAACACACACACAAAAATGGAGAGAGAAAGTGGAATGATGAAAGAGAAAGAAAAAAATATGGACCCCACCTCTTTAATATGTGTGTAGGAAAGTGATGTTATATCATGTTACATGATAAACATAAAACCCTACATTTTAATTCAAAATCTTAAAGTATAGGATCAATTGGTCTTTCCACTTATATGATCTCACTTAACACATTTCTAACCAATATAAAATTTCACTATTTGCACTTCGATTCTGTTGAGAAATATAGTTCCACATTGGTTGTATGGGCAACTAATGTGAGGTTTATAAGGCCTTGGGCACTCCCACCCTTTGAGCTAGCTTTTGGGGTGGTGACCTCAAGGTTCTTAACATAGTATCAGAACGTTTGAAATCTCACCGCCTCCCACTTTCTTTATGGTGGAATTTCCACATGTAGGTGGACTTGTATGTTGTCCACCCTTAAAGCCCAGTGGGTTCTCGTGTGAGGGGGCGTGTTGAGATATATAGTCCAACATTGATTGTATGTGCAACTAATGTGGAGTTTATAAGATCTTGGGCACTCCCACCCTTTGAGCTAGCTTTTGGGTGGTGACCTCAAGGTTCTTAACATAGTATCAGAGTGTTCGATATCTCACGGCCTCCCACTTTTTTTGTAGTGGAATTTCCACATGTAGGTGGACTTATATGTTGTCCACCCTTCAAGTGAGACTATATTTCTCAACAGATTCTAATCTCCAACAAAACAAAGAATTAAAGATGAAGCTGCAGGAAAAATAATTAGCAAAGTGAAAATGAACGCTCCACAAATAAGAGAAAATTTCATAAAATGCATGGACATACTTGCTCCAAGGCCAAATTGAGTCTCGTTTCTCTAGGCCAATCACTCAAAATGCGGATTAGCATAGATAATCCATAGCTTAAATTCACCAAAAATATCTATCTAAAATTTGTAGTTCCAATTTCTTATATTTATAGAAATTTAAATAGGAATTGCATAACTACTAAACAAACTGCGAATCAGGATCTTCAAATGTAGCATTAGTGTCACCCAAACATTGCTGACCGATTATGAATTTCGAGTGTGTTCATGGAACGTGTTGCGTCGGGTTTAATGAACCCAATATTGTGGTCGGGGCCTATTTTGCTGACGTGGCCCCAGTTCACTATGTCCCAGCTAACGATCGGAATTGAACTGGGTTAACCTCTGATATTTTAACAAAATATATAAATTTAGATATTATACATACTTTAAGTCATAAAATTTTGAAGGTAGCAAATTAAAACTAAAGAATGTTTTAAAATGTATGTTATGAAACAAATTATGTCAATATAAATATGGGGAAATGATTCGTATTTTTAAAGGATATAATTTATGTGTTTTTAACATTTTTTTTTTTTGAAAAATATTCCAATCGGTTCATTGCTTCGCAATTGATTCGATTCGGGGTGAGCCTAGAATTAAGGCTTTAAACTTCTCCCAAAAGTGGAGGGGTTTAAAGTCTTAATCCTGAACCTGTCCCGAATCGGATTAGTTGATAAACAATGAGCCGATTAGAATATTTCTATAAAAAAAAGTCGTATAACTTTTTTTTCTCTCTTCAGACACTGTTTGCTGACGTGAAAAATGAAAAAAGTATAACTTTAATATTATAACTATGTATAACTCTTAATACATAGTTATAAATTATTAAAAAGATATAAGTTACATCTTTTAAAAAGACAAAATTTTAACTCTATATATTTAAGGAAAATCAATTCTCAATGAGACAGGAAAAATTGTACTCTTCTGCTATAGACTTATTAAAGTTTGTGTTGAGTTTATTTTTATTTTTTAAATTTCTGAAGTGGTGGTTCTGTTTGGAGAAATAATATTTTCTCCAATAATAGGAGAAAAACAACACCCATGTATTTATCACTTTCTATCAAAATAATTATATTTTAGAAATATTTATGTTAGTCAGCACAACCGAGTGTGTCCGAACATAACCCAAAATTCATCGGGGTCTAATATATAGAACCGAACACATCCAAATTAGCTGAAGCGGGTCCGGCCGTCTTGAACAGCCTAGTGAATTTAATATAAAGATTCCTACCTCAGAAATTGCAACAATAATGTATGTATTGGGACTGAGTGAGTGCTTGAGATTTCAATCTTCTCCTTGTCGAAAATTTATGTATGTTCACTTGTTCAGTGTTTGCTACAGAAGAAACTTCATGAGTTATAATATCCAATTCCTCGCTAAGAAACATCGATGCTTCACAAGTAAGGTAACATAACATCGAGTAATTCTGGCTCTTCAGATTTACTGATCTACCAAAACTATTACGCGCCCACCCACAAGCAGAACATTTAATCAACAGTTTCAATTAATTATATCAACATTCAGCTATTGCAGGACGCGCAAACATGAAAAGAATAAGAAGCAACTGGATGCAAAAAAAATTAATCTTTAGAAAGTAGGAGGAAAGTCTACCTTAGTTTCCGAATTACAGATCCAAGGGTCAGTAAACTGCGATTTATGTGGCTACCTTCTCTCAATCTTGCGCCTGCTGATAATGCTTGAGAAGCACGCTCACTTCCTGCTAGATCAACAAAATTCTGTACAAAGAAACTAACTCTTGTTCATTTCATCCACGAAACAATTATATATATAGATATATAAATAGGATAAAAAGGGGTGAAGATCATACCACACTGGCGACCAGAGTACCAGATCTTGCAGTGCCTACATAATCACTAGGATTGCTTTCAACTGTCTGCAGGAACTCATCAATTTGGGAAAATTTAGGAAAAAGGTAAGAAATTTTTATCTCCGTTACTAACTAATTTAGTGATAAAGTGGATACCAATCGAAGAATTTGATGAGATCTGGAGCTATATTCATTCATGGCTGTCTCTTCCGTTGTCCTTTCAGCTGCAAGATATACGCAGATATGGCTTGAAATAGAGCACCGGAAAGCATCAAAAGCAGTAATAAGTGTAAAACTAATTAGACCCCAATACCTGCACATGTGAGAAGGAGTTGCTGCAACTGTCTCCTCTCTGTCAAAGTCTCCTCTGTAAGTTTCTCCACAACTGTCCCTTTCTGTTTGAGGTGCATAGATTCTCAACCATTCAGCCAGAAACTGTTAAACATAACAGGAAAAAAAATGCTACTAAATTTACCTCTGGATCATCTAGGAGTCTTAATGAGGTAGCATTTGCATTGAGAAGGTCTCTGACAACTTCATTATAGATCTCCATTGCAGAGAATTTAACAACAAATTCTCTTTCTTTATGCTGTGACACAAAACAAATGTCATCCTACGGCAACAATCAAAGAACATTATTGTAAAACAACCAATTTAACCCAAGAGCGTAAGGTGTAGTGGGTGAAGCTACATTAATGATTTTTATATTTCTCTACCATGTCGGGGGTCACATGAGAACTCATTGGATTTGAAGAGCAGATGATGTATCAGACTCGGCCTAACTGAGCTTTGAAACTCCACAATATTAATTATTTATTAGTAGAATGGGAGTGGAGATCGAACTTATGACCACTTGTTGACTAAAGCTTTGATCATGTAGAGTAACTAATTCACCCAAAAGTTTAAATGGTTGAGTAATTTTTATATTTCTATGACAATTATCTTTTTCATTGCAAGATGAAACCAGGATTTAAATTGTTTTATACCTTCTGTATGTAGTCGTATATATCCCTTATTGCATATTCAGTAATTCCAGTCATGGTGTATGTCTTTCCACTGCTTGTTTGCCCGTACGCGAAAATGCTAGCTGAGATTATGTTTAATCAATGAGAAACAAAACACAACAATAGATGTAATCAGGAACTATAAAACAAGAAACAAGAAGATTACTCACAGTTGATACCACGAACTACAGAAAGGGCAACTTCCTTAATTCCTTGCTCATACACCTGCTCCGTGGACGACCTTTCCTCAAATACCCTGTCTGTTTCCAATAAACCAGTCAATAAAGTAGGAATTAGGATTCAAACGAGAAAAGCTTGAAAAACGGTCTGAATAATATTCACGGGTTCAAAAGTGTCATAAAAATACAACGATCATATTAAAGAGAAAAGAAATAACCCTCGTGATAGCATATTTCTTACCAAATGTGTAGGTTTCCATTGACAATGATCGCTGTTCTCCAAGACCGCTATTCTTGAATCTGATGGTGTTGCCAGAAATGCACTCCCAGTCCGATACATCGTTCCTTGTTATTTCTCTCTCGTTCAAAGGCCTTACTCTGATCGATACAAAAATTCTCTCTTCCTCAACATTTAACAGAGCCGTGTTTCCCTGCTTCTCTCTCCCTCCCCCCACGGATCCTGTATCTCTCATCTTCATGAACTGTTAGAACAACAACACGATCCTCAATATATTGGCATTACTTACACATTCGCAACTGCTGCAACAACAACCTGATCCCTTTCGTTTCTTCAAGCTCTCGTTTTCTGCTACATTACTCATGTTTCATCCGCAAGTTCTCTCGAATCAACATAGAACGCAAAAATCAACGACTCAACCGCTAACGATTAAATATCTACGAAGTATCAATACAGGACCGGGACACGAAGATATTCATTTTCGTGCGTAAATTTAAAAATAATGAGAAAGGGGAAGGAAAAGAAGAAGAAGATAATCTGTATTTAATTAATGCGAAAATCTGGATGATAAAATAGCAGGAAAAAACTAAAAGAAAATTCCGTTGGATACCGTTTTCTCTATCTCTGTCGCCGGTGGGTGACCAGAGAAAGAGACAACGGAGTAGAGAATCAGTTGCTGCAGGTTATAGGGTGGCAAAGCCGTTGGTTGATCTTTCCCTTCCTCGCTTCTGGATTCCGCAAGGACCGGTGAAATATAAAACCGTTGCGCCCGCTAAAAGAAAATTTATATTGATATACTATTTTGACCCTCAATTCCAATATGGGAATAGATAATTTCATGTGTTATTTAAAATAATCATATCATATAGGACGATTCTAATTATTTATTGGCAAATTAATGGTTGTGAGGAATGAGAGGGAAAAAAAATATTAAAATAAAGAATGATAAAATCACTACTGTTGATCTATTCATGAATAGTTAGAATCCTCTAACATGACGTGGTTATGTTAATTAACACATTCTCTAATTTATTTCCTAAAAATTTAAGAATTGCAATTTTAAATAAAAATAAAAATAATTAATATCATTTTCAAATATTTTACAAAACTAATCTAATCAATTGCGCTTAAAATTTGTGCACAATTGGTTATGCATCAATTGTGTGTGCAACATACTTCGCAAGCCCTTTAAATTGCACATCAAATGAGACGCAACTAAACGCATAGGTTTGGAGCAAGTCACGAAAGTTTGTCACGTGGCATCGTTGTTAGGAATAAATCTTTGGTTCATGGTTCATGGGTCCAAAGAATCGAACAATTTTATTTTATGTGAAATGGTTTTATTTTTCTCGAATTGGTTCATGGTTTAAAACCAATTTATGATTTATAATTGGTTCTCAACTAGTTTAAGAATACAAATCATAATGATCATAAAGCCGCAACTATCAATAATATATATATTTAATAAAAAAATAATCAAATAAACTAGGATTTGCAACGTCCTTAAATAGGCAAAGAAAAATAAAATAATTGAAATTACAATGTTGTTCGTACAAAAATAAAATGAAAAAAAATTAAAAACTCAATGAAAAAGAGTCTGAAAGCCAAAAATATGTTGATACTCATTGTAATCAATGAGCCTTGACAAGAAGACTGATTTCAAGGCTTGGTCAAATTTGAGCCCATTTTGAAATGGTCACCTCGGATCATTACCAATTCAGTCTCTCAATAATAAATCATATATTTTTACCAAATAAATAAATAAGAATAAACCATATATTACACGATTTATGTGGCAAACTCTTGTCAGTTGTTCCCAAACCTATACGTAACTAATTGCACCTCATTTGATGGCAACTCACAAAAGCTTACCACGTGACAGTTGCGCTTGGAATTGATGCACTACCACACAAATTTAGGACCAATTGATGGGATTAGTTTCATAAAATATTTGAAATGACATTAATCGTGTTATTTGTTGTTTAAAATATAATTTTTTGCAATGTACCAAAAAAATATATATATATATAAAAATTTTAATTTTTTTTTATATTTACTTCATCACCCTATTTTCCCCACTCTAGAGTTGCCATTGCCAAGTGCCATCACACCATGTGCCCCTCATCCGAAAAATTTCCTTTTTTATTTTAGTTAAATGCTATAAAATATATAATGTCAACCATACTTAACATTTTTTTGGGTTGAAGATTAAATTTAGTGGTTTCGCTAAGACAGGTGCATGAAATTTAAGGGGTTGTGTCTAGGGGTATAAATGAGTCAAGTCAAGTCAAGTTTTAGTCTAAATGGGCTAAAGTTATGTAAATTATTTTAAGATTGGCCTGACTAGTTAGCTTGATACAAGTCAGATTATAAGTTTGGTTTGACTTGTCTTTAAAAAAATATAAGGCTTGGTATGACCTATCAAGCCTTCAAAAAATGACAGTCAATTTTTAAAATGATAAATATATTATAATTTAAAATTTACGCAGACAAATCATATAAGGAGAACAATGATAATACAACTCAGTTCTGAAAATTTTCACGAATCAACCAATGTATATAAGAATTTTCAAATAAAAAATAATTAAATAAATAAAGAGAAACAAACAAAATAATCAAACACAAACATAAACACATGCCCAACAAACAAGATCAAGATATGTAAATGCATACAAAAGCCAAGGTCAAATAATATATATTTTTAATGGAAACTTTGAAAAGAGACAAAACTTGTCAACGAGACAAAAAAAAGCAAAATATATGGAGAATTAGAACTTATTAATTGCTTCCACCAATCAACTTATTTGAGAATTTTCCAACTAAAAACAATTAAACAAATAAAGAAAATACCAAAAATAAATCACAAACATAATTAAACACATGCCCAATAAACAAGAACAAAATATGTAGATGTATACAACACTCACAAGTTAACTATTTTTTTAATAGAAATTTTGGAAAGAGGCAATTTTGTTAATAGAATAAAAAAAAGAGCAAAAAGTATAAAGAACGAGGACTTACTATGAGCTGCAAAATTCTTAAGAGTCGATGGTGAGCAATTATGGTTTGGAGGGATGAGAAGTTGAGAAGGAATAGAAGAGAAGTGAAATTTGGAGGAAGAGAAACAAACGGTGACAACAAAGAAATTTAGTGTTAAGAAAATATTTGTTTGCCAAGTGAGAGAGGGAAGATTGTGAAAAATAAGAAAATTTTTAAAATCATAAGATACTATTTTATTAAAAAAAAACAAAATATCATTTTATTGAAAATAAAATAAAAAATTATTATAAAAAGATCTTTTAATGAGCTCAAACCAATGTTATTAAACCCGAACCGGTGATCAACCCGATCGGGGTACTGGGTCAGAGAGTCATTAGTTCAACCAGTGGGTCACTGGTTCAACCGCATAAACCGGATATGTATATAAATTTATATTTTATACTTAATTATATAATATATATTTTAAATGGTACAAGAGGATCAAGAACCAAATATAGCTTAGTGATAAATACTATAATTTATATCTTCACAATAAGGGTTCGATTCCCACTAGATGCAATTTTTAAATAATTCTATTAAATGATATGTTATATATATTAAATAGTGCATATTAATCAAAAAAATAACTTAGCCTAGTGGTAAGCTGTTGTTGGACATCCTTCCAAAACCGGTTCGACGGTTAATACCGATTGAACCGTGGTTCACGACCAGTTCACCGGGTTGATACCGGGTCAGCAGCATATCTGGTCCATTGCAAGAATCGGACCGGTTGATGGGCCGGGCCGGTTTTATGAACACTGGCTCAAACATATACTATTTTTAAAACAAAAATATTTCTGCAGTTACTCCAAATAAGCTATATGCATTTACTCCCAAAACAATGTCGTTTTGGCAATAAAATATTACAAAATTATAATTATAAAGACTATAATAATCCTGAAATAAATTAAAATTATAAAAACACAATGATTTCTGTCCCAAAACGACGTCGTATTGGGCTTACTGCAGATAACTTATCTGCAGTAACTGCAGGAAAAATGAACCATTTTTAAAATACACCAAGCTATAGACCTCTCGCAATCCCTAGTTGTGTATCTCATTTTCCGATAAATATCAATATCCCTCTTCCTTCATTTGGCAAAATAGATTCTAACTTCATCATTTGGATGCTTCCATATCAATGTCTAAATAAGGAACAACTGTCGGAAACCAAAAGCAAACATTTGCTGGAAGACACATCGAATCAATGTTATTAAACCTGATCCGGTCATTTACCCGATCGAGATACTGAGTTATTGGGTCACTGGTTTAAACGGTGGGTCATTGTTTGGTTGGCCCAAGTAAGTATATGTAAATCCATATTTTATACTTAAAAATTCTGTGTAGAATCCACAACAAAGTAATTTCACATCAGTTTCTAGAAGAAAGTTGCTAAATTTATTATGCATCTTACACATCAAATTCTACGAACTTGAAACTATGCAAAACTTGGGAAGTTATAAACCAATTTCGATTCAAGACACACTAATGCTATGCATACTATGTCTAGTATGATCATCTTGACTACACAAATCCACACGATAATTTGGATTTTTTAAAACGAATATTTTATAAATATTTTATTAAAAATTCACACCTAAATTCTTTACGATTTAAGAAAAGACACAAAAAAAAATATTTTATTAAGGACCTTATTTTTAAAATGAACTTTGGAGTTTTTCTACATAAAAACAGAGAAAATTAAATTAAAAAAAATGAAAAGCATGAAAAGATCCGATCCTCGGCATAGAAGTGGTGCTTGGAAACAATGCGAAGAAATTGACAGCATTAGAATAATTAAGGATGAGACATGTTCTGCCTGAGGCAGATATGTCCGACCGAAGGTCGGGTGTTTGATGTTGGATCTAGGGCTTTCTCTCTAGATACCTATGAACTAGGTATCTTGGAGACAACTGATCACTACACACTATATGATGGCTTTAGCCAGAAGGGATGTGTGTGTGCATTGTCGTGTCTTAATGAAATAGGGTTAGAGAGATCAGTCATACCTGAGGTCTTTAGTCCCTATTTATAGAGATTACCTCTGGGCTGATTCGGGTTGAGCTTCTCGCTATCGTGGGCCTTCCTCTGGTCCAT